TTATGATCTGCATTTATTACAAACTTAAAAACTTTGAAAAATATTGCATTGATGCTGCGAAGAAAAAAATTAGTAGTGACTTCTATCGTGATGATTACATTGACGTCTGTTGACTCTTTGAAAATTTCTCTCCAATACGCATATATTCAATTTTATTTTCAGAATTAAAAGTACATCAAGGCAAGACATGATATTCCAACTTCTCAAGCTTGTCATCAACCATCTCACTACAATATTCATACATTGCACAATAGTGATTTTCACTCACCTTATTAATTGAACGATAAAGACAATGTCATCTAGGATTTATCACCTCATCTGTTTTAAATCATCACAGTGATAACTCTGTTTTATATCTAGATGTCAACTGTGAGGATGATGAGATTGTTGTTGCTCCGCTCTTACCTTTCACTTCGAGGAACAATGAATCCACAATCAATGATGGGGTACAAGAGTTCATTTTGAAACTTGTTGAAGACAGATACTTTCCGCTACCGTGGTTTTGCATCAAAATAATTCCACAACTAGTTTCAATGATACGGAAGTCTATGTAAAGACATTTTACAACAATTCACACTCAAAAGATTTGTTCAAAAGATTCAAAACTCAAAATTTAAGACTCAAAAGATTACATTATAATCAATCATAAGAAACTGTACACATGCATCTAGTTAACTAGGAGAGTTGTGCAAGAAAAATTTAATCTATAGGTAAATTACTTTGTTGACCTTTGCACCCTTTGAATTTCAGATCTAATATCTGATTGCAGCATACACTTATATTCCACTAGGAACAATTGTGACAACTCAACCAAACCAAGGTCAATTTTAAACTATTTCTACATTTATGCCACTATCTATAACTCTGGATACACTTATATACGTATATTTCAGATTTACATTTATGATTTATATGTATATAAATATAAACATGATCCATATACAAAATGAAAATAATACATGCTCCGGAGCATGACCTCGTGCCCTCGCACGGGGCATGCATTTTTGATTGTGTCTCCAACTCTAGTGTCAATATGCTAGAATTTTAGTAAGTACAGTGAGGCATGTAGAAAGAAGTGAAACGCAATTTATAACAAGTAAAAAGAAGACAATGCAATGAAGTTCGGATCACAACGATCGGATAAATATTGATGATATCATTTGATGGACGAGTTTATGTTTGGCAGGAAGAATGTCGTATCACATGCCCATGCGAATGTTGTGGACTAAGATGAAGTAAATTGCACTATTAGTTGAGAACAAACACAACGGAGAAAAAAGCGAATTGAGTTCATCAAAATTATTGAACCCTAAGTGGAAGTAATGTTTGGTTGTGGAAAGATGCATTGAAAAGTTTAAATAGAGTAACAAGATAGTTTGAAGTCCAATGATGACATAAGAATGGCTTTATTAATGAGTATACAAACAATCATGGGGAAATTGATTGATAAGCTCTAGATGGGCATGTAGTGGGTTAGGCTATTCGACATCCATGGAGAATAATTATGTCACGCACGTCCGCATTTTAGATCTCCATATGTTATTGGCAATGTCATGTTGCCTTGCATACTACTCTTTTACAGTTTTACCTCTTGTTGTCAATGAAATTTGAAATTCTCTTGAGGTTTTTTGTTTGACACATTGATATATTTCAATGTGTCTTTTAAGTTTTCTTCAATTTCAACAAGGTTATGTAGAGGATGGTTGATCACCTCAAGCTTCTCTTGTCTCGCATGCCTCGAAGATGTCATAAATGACAACCTAGTGTGCAAATCGTTCGATGTCTCTTGCAACCACTAAGTATTCCAAAAGTTATCTCCTTGGATGATGCATATGTCATGTAGCACAATGCAAACATTTACCAATTCAGACTCATTCTTCAATTGCACGTAAATCCTTTTTAGCAATATTTTTCATAACCCTTGAGCATTCCAAATGCCCGATCAATGCATATTGAGTGTTCATTCATGATTTTTTCATCCACACAATTTTTTCCATGATTTAGCGTCATGCATTGATCTGATACATCATATGTCAAAATCCCAAAATATGCATTTGCTAGATGCAATATCCGGTAGTAGAATAGAGTGAAATTCCTTACAATTATAATAATTAGTAGTAGGTAACCGCGGTGCACAATTGATATGTGTGAATTATCTGCCGCACCAACCACATATGATATTTGACGATTATTTTCAAATTCTCTAGAAAATTTGTCCCTAGTGATTAGTAATGGTGAAGTACTACCAAATGTACTTCTTGAGAATGAACAATAGCACAAGATTAGTGAACTGATTGACAACCATTTGATTTGTTAATAGACCGATACTATACAAATCCGCAATATTCTATATGGATGTGGCCAATATTACATTTGTTAAAGCTGAAATAAGAAGCAGAAATGACAAACGTTAGAAGGCGATCAAGAAGCAAGAACGAGATGGAGAATTTAGTGATCGAAGTTACACAAGCTATTGCAGGTTTAAATTTTTCTGTTGGGCAAGAAGAGCTTGAAACATTTGTTCACATACATGATAAAACCACTGAAAAATTTAAAGTTGAAATTTTGGACGAAATTGAAGAACTTTTGGGGACTATGAAGCTTGCGGAAGAAATTTGATGATCATTTCTATCTAGATGATAGAATTGATCATGAAATTCTTGACTCTCAACATTCATATTTGGATTTAGGAGAAAACATTATATTTAAAGAAGTTGAGTAACTTTATTAACAAGTTGTTGATATAGAGTATGAGTTAATCTGTTGAGACATTAAAAAAAAAGTCTAAAAAACAATTTGATGATCTTATACGTTTGTTTTAATAGCAACGTTCCGGTATGTCATTTTAAAAACTATACGCAAGGAATTCAAATTTACATTTCATGACATGTTGAACTATACAAACTTTATCTATGTTTGTTTGGATAAAGATGGCTTACATAAACTAGTTCGTACTTAACCGGGACGTTCGTGTATCACAATATGCAATGCAAAGTGGACTCTCCTTTGCATGGATACTCTAAATCTAATAATAGCCGTTTCAGCCCAAACTACTGCTTAAGATATTTAAACTCATAATTTATCACTTTCTAGGTTTAGTTCAAAAAATATTACATATATTATTTTTTTAAGTAGACTTCAAAAAAACGAAGAAAATACTTAGGGATGGTTCGAGCTTTGAACTCGACGTGAATCGAACACGCAACCTTCTGATCTGGAGTCAGACGCGCTACCATTGCGCCACGAATCCCCATGGAGACGCTTATAGCAATATTAATTTTATAATCATATTTCTCCACTTAGTGGGGCTTACACATAATCAATGGTCTTTTAACTGTATTCCGCGAGATATAGTGCGGGGAGTGATTGTCACTCGCCCTGTCTGCTCGTCGCCCTATCGCGAAGTGATTTCAGCTCCAAAGTGACCCTCCCAAAAACCCTATGCAGGCGACGGTGTGCCGTGAAGTAAATCTAGAGATTGTCTCTGCGCTGTTTTTTTCTGCGTCACCCATTCAAAATCTTCGAGACTTTTCATAAAAGAGCCATCGAGAAGGCTAATATGGAAATCACTTGCATAGAAGAACGGATAGGATAGATGCATCACATCCTGGATTCATCTGCAAGATTTCCTAAGCACCCGCTACTGTTCAGTCCTCCTTCCTTCCTCCGGAAGCATCTCTGGGGTCGCTCTCGGACTTCGTTCGAAACTATAAAATATAGGGGACAGTGTGCCGTCCGTGGTGGTCACAGTCACCTCCTTGTGTTATGCAGGGGTCCCATCAAGTTAATTTTCAAGACTGGATGCTTACTTGGACATGGGCTGAGAGTCAGAGAGAATCAGGTCTGCGTTGGGGGAGTCACATCGACATCGGATTGTCCCTGCCCCCTTCGTCCAAACATCTTCTGCCTTACGCGTACATTGTGAATGACTCGTTCACAATGTATGACAATGTATTCACATTCCGAATGAGTGACCTTCATTCCTGCGAACATGACCGTGTATTAACTATTGGCTCGAATCTCATCGATCGAGTCGTATGCTCGTCCTGGTCTGCTTTCGTACTCACGTACTCTCATACTGCTGTCAACTTTGGCCCTCCACGAAGGTTTTCTATGACTCCATGCTCCCTCGCGTGCTGCTGTGCTCGGCGGACGACAGATGAGCCTGAAATTACGAGGATTCGAGCTCATGCCTTCCAGCTTCGGGCCGCTGGCGCTCGTAGAAACTCTTATTGTGGCTGACTTGTTCTGTTATACCACGTAGAATCCGGCGGTTGAGAAGTAATCAATGAGCACAATGCGCACATGATTCCCTCAAGTGTCTTCAGAGGATGTTCAATACGACCTGCACGTGCTACTAGTTCTTTCGTCCGACCCCAAGCTGGTCTCTGGAGAACGGTACTTGAGGTGCTTTGATCTCTTCAGCTTTGATGTACGTCCTACATTCCAGCCCGGGCCACATCTTCACCAGTTCGCTGATCAGAGGTGTGTCCTATGGCTCGCGTTCGTCTATAGTACTAGAAAAGGTCCGCTCAAACCTCATCTTCAGAATTTCCAATCTTCTGCTCATGGACTACAATATACGACAAGCTGCGTGCTGAGGAGCAGTTTGTAACGAAGCGTAATTTCGTGATCAATCGTCTTTCCCGTCGAGAGAATCTTATCTCTGAACTTGCTGTACAGTCTGACTGAGAGCTAACTCGAGCGCACACTGCACAACTGTAAACACGAATGAAATCCGTAATCACCACTTGCTCTACTGAGAAACAAACCCCCCGCACATTGCCGCGAGCAGGAAAAAAATGCAATGACAAATTCTCATGGCACGGGTCCGAAAAGACTTGAACCTTGCAGACTTTCGCGACACCTTTCGACCGTGATGCACACAAAGACTCGAGTGCATCGGTAACAGAAAGTACATGGATAATCATTGACATGATCATCTGTGCTCAAGCCTCAGTACAGGGGACTGAGGGAAGAGATTATAGCATTGTGGACATCCCGTGGACTGCCATGAGAAATTCACAGTCGAGAAGAACGCTGACTCTGCCAGAGGTTGCCAACTCCAAAGCTCTACAACAACATGACTACAGTCTGGTTACTCCAGTCAGCGTTCGACTGAATCGGGTGTTGAAGCCTCGTTGTCTCGAGTGCACTCATCAAGGCAAGGGTATCGATCACTTCAGACGATCAAGCTAGCGGTCAAATATTTGTACATCATTCAGGGATCGTGTAATACAGCGGAATTCAATGAGGTACAGAAGAGCTGTCTTGGCTTTCTATCTAACAGATGAAACGATGGTACTGTCAGCAGCAATCGCGCAAACACCTGAGGAAGTGCTGGAATCAGCGAGAGAACATCGATGAGCAGACTGATGACTGCGAGAAAAAGATCTTGGTATTGATTACAAAGACGCTACAGAGACGCAAAGCCTAATTTCCTTCCTACATTAACTGTGCAGAAACTAAATTCAGTGTTGGTGCCCTCTTCTCCACTACCTCCCGGACTTTTTGGCCTTGTATCCCAATTCGACCAGAGCCTCGACCAGTTTCGCTGAGTGGTCTCCCTGCAGAATGAGACAGTGCTGCCCAGTGAGCGCCAAAAGTATGACATTGAGAGCATTTGCAGCATGGGCACGAGGTCACTAAACCCACACTCTGATGGATGTCCACTTGAGCTTAGGCATGCATGAGATTCTTCTACAAGGAGAGAGGATACAGCAGATGAAATTTTTTCGTTCATGGACACTTTCCTCGCAGCTACTCGACGCGTCTGCGCTACAAGATTGACGCGACGAAAATCAGACCGACTGACCTGAATTTCAATCATGAGATCCTTGACGGCTCCTCCTGCACCAAGTGTGTTCTTCAGAGTCGTGCAGAGCGATTCTAGGGTTTCGTCGGTCAGTTGTAATCCTTTGATCACTGTCACAATCTTTCCCGCGCGGCCGCGTTTCGTTGCCTCGACGATGGGCTCCTGCAGCTCAGGGGCGACGTCTGCTTGCAACTAGACACAGCATTGCATGGTCAGCGAGCAGATCTCCAACTTTCCAATGCTTCGGGAAACTGGACCAAACTGAACTACAGGGTTCGAAGATCTTCAGGTCAGCTCATTCATGCACGATAAAGCGGCGCAGATGATGCGCTGCTTGTCGACATGGAGGTCGCCAAGGTTCCACAGGGCACACGACAGCAGTCGCTGTCACCTGCAATGGAAGCGGACGAAATTTGTGCGGGAACGTAATTTCAAGTCTCATCTTCAGTAGTTGGACTCACGGGATTTTTCACGGGCGCAGATCTTCTGCTCCCTCTCGAATTTTGCGACAACCGAGGTTTGTCGACGGTGGTGCGCACGATTTTGACCTCGGCCCATCCTTCTCGATTTGCAGACCCGATGTCGATGAAGTTAGGTCCCGGCTTGTTGTTTCCCGCGCGGACCACCAGAGGCCTCGACCATCCCGAACCCTGACGATGCCCGTGCGAGGTCAACACTGCAGCTGATGAGAAACGAGCGCTGAGCGCCGGCATGAACGCGGTGGACACCATTCTGGCAACGAGAATTCTCGGGGAGGTCTTCGGGATGTGTGAAAGGCCGAGTGGAGGTCGAACGCACGCATTTGTACATATGCCACACCATGGCAGGATTTAAAGCTACGAGGAACACGCAGTGCTAGCGTCTGACAATTGCTCGGTTTGTCTCTACCTCATCGACATCACGATAGGGACTCGTAGCCATTACATGCATGCACTATATTAAGGACGCAGCGAACGCTGAACCGCAGAACACATGAGACCTACTTCGGGGTCCTGCGTGTCCACACACGAAATGACCGCCGGCAAGAGCAGAAGAGTTTCTCAACTTTCTCCAAAGCCATGATCTGCATCCAAGACTTCCAGCGATGTTTTACGAAGTAAATGCCTCCAAGTCACACCGAACTTGATCGAAGAGCGGGCAGTGTGACGGACAACCGACCGCTGCCAAATAGCTTACAAGGATATCACCAGCACTATGGTCATGCTCCTGAATTATGGTTATGTTCATGAAATTCCGAGTATGGCTCACATCATGACCTCCGTTCATCGCATTTTGAAGCGTTGGCAGTGAGCCTCAAAACCGTAACGAAACTCCCAAAACCAAATTTTTAGAGCACACGTTTAAACCCCACTCTAATACGTAGCAAGAGTCCAATATAAAGGTGATAAAAATAAATGACGTAGACGTACTTCTCACAGCTTGATTCAGATGATAACATGAAAGAATAAATTACCTTCAAATTATTATTGACAGATTATACAGGTGTAAACCGAGCTGCTCGTTTTACTACACAACCAATTGCCATCGAGTCCGCTTGTAGAGGACTCGAATACAACCTTAAACCAGCCTGAAGATGTGTATCAAGGGACAGTGAAAGGCCGGCGGTTCGTTTTTTACCTCATCCAGGCCACGACTAACGCGGGGTCCAATTTAGTGGCCAGAAGTTCGTGCTTAGCTGCTTAAAGAACTGATAAGCTCATGATTTCTATCTATTTACATTTGACAAAATGAAGCCTCTCTAAACTTCTGTAACAAAATACACTGTCACTATTGAAGCCGGGCCCTTTCAGCTGGACTGAAGACTAGTGACATATAAACCAACCTCGTGTCGCTCATTGTCTGGATAGTGATAAAGAGCGATGTAAAATCCGGGCCTCATGATAGGTCATTTCTTCCTTCCTCCTCCGCAGAAAACATCTTACATTACAACGCCCGAGACCTCCAACAAGCTTCAGTTGAAATACAATACTCCTCTTACAAACGGACCTAAATCCAGGCATCCTGGCCTGGAAAGATTGTGTTGAGTATAGTCAACAAGAGCGATGTCAGGTTTCAGAAAATCCGGTAAAATCGCGACGCTCAGGTCCTGTTATCAACTCTCGGCCGAACCGCTCGACGCTCACCCTTTTCACTGCCGACTAGAGAACACCCTTGCACTGCGACAATCGGCCAGAACTCTGGCAGGGAACAGCTCAAAAAAGGGTTACCGAAGAGGAATCAATGCCTGTTCCAAGTCCCTTCCAGGCACGTCGATTGTGGAGCCCTTGGACGATTACATCACGTCTTTCATCATCTCCCAACCGCCTGGAACACCACTTCCTTAACTACGTATCCTTACAAAGACGAAGTTGACACGCAATTTCAAATTCCGGGATATATTTCGAACCTGAAGAGAAGTGCTAAACACTAGGTATCCTCCGTGGATCAAGTACACCTCTCGGGTTCTTCGCGTCTTTCTAAACAGAAAAAGACAGCAACTAAGACTGCTGTCCTGGCTGACCGGGCTGAGCCTGAGGGGGCATCATTGGTCTCCTGACAACCCCCCGGTTCGCCACACTTGCAGCATTCAGCGACGCAGCTCGAGAAGCATTTTGCATATCCATACTTGAACTTGAGAGGCCTGCAATAGATCCCAAAGAGCCCTGGGCGCTCAGCTGAGGACTTTGTGGACCACCCACTAATGCCCCAAGACCGGTGTTTACCTGTTGTGAATTCAGCTGCTGAGAATTCATGTAGTAATTTTGACCAGCAACTCCGGGTGCCATACCTGTAGCGCCTACTTTTGGAGGCGCCATACCAGAGAGAGGCCTCTGCATTGGCGCCAAGCCACTCCTTGACAATGCCTGATTCATGATCGGAACTCCTGAGTTACCATGAAGTTGACTCGGAGCTGTCATAGTGGATAGATTGTCCACGGCACCTCGAACGGGAGGAGTAGGAGTGCCAGGTGTGCGACCTCGTCCAGCATTCATCCGTGCTTTCGAAAGAGCTGCAGCAGCAGCCTGAGCTTGAGCTTGAGCCTGAGCCTGAGCCTGACCAAGGCCTGCTGGACGAAGCTGCTGAGATAACAAATTCGCAACTCCACCAGGTTGACCCATATTGGCCATACCAGAAAATTGATTCATATTCGGTGGAAGACCGGACATACCTCCCATGGATGGTGTCATAGTCATGCCTGACATTGCGCCCATGCCTACAACTCCACCCATTCCATTCAGACCCACGACGCTTCCAAGGCCACCTTGACCCGTACTTACGGGAATGCCTACTCCACTCATTCCATTCATGTTATTGACAGCATTCATACCCATACCTAAGCTGTTCATACTGTTCATGCCCCCTGGTAGCATCATCTTCCGCTGAAGCATGTTCTGCTGCTGCTGCTGGTTTCGTTGGTGTTGTAACATCTGTAGCTGCTGCTGCATTTGCTGATTTTGATGAGGAACAATCTGCGGAGACATGGGCTGACCGGATGTATTATGACCACTCAACTGCGCAACGAGCTGTTGTTGACTGCTTACTAGCTGCTGTGACCGCGAATTTTGTTGATGCGTTTGTTGCTGTTGTGTTGGTTGTTGATGCTGATGTTGCTGTTGTTGAGTCTGTTGCTGCTGTTGTTGTTGCTGCTGCTGTTGTTGTTGTTGCTGCTGCTGGTGTTGCTGCTGCTGCTGCTGATGGTGTTGTTGCTGTTGTTGTTGTAGCTGATGGTGATGCTGAAGCTGCTGCTGTTGATGCATTTGCGCCATTGCTAACTGAGAAGCTGTGGCATCCATCTGCATGCCCTTGCTTGTACCTGGCTGTCCTAATATATTGGTCATAGTTTGCCGGGTAGAGTTTCCAGGTGGAGGCATACGGGCAGCTGCTAATGCGCTTGGAGAAGAGGGCTGGAGCTGGCTAAGGACTGAGGTTCCAGACGGTCCAGGCAAACCTGGCATGTGCTGCTGATTCATAAGTACTCTTGGTGATGTTCCCATATGATTCGCAGAGCTGGCCAAAGTAGAAGCACCTGCTTGCATAGGCCGTGCGTTCGATGCGGCATTTGCTGTCATTGCTTGAGCCCCTCTAGGCACAGCCGCCTGAACCTGGTCATCCATAAGTTCCCAACCTTCTTTCTCCATCTGTGGATCACCGGCATCACCTTTCCCGTTATTAGCATGGTGTTTTCGACTTTTAAAATCAAATCTAGTGGAAACGTTCACAGAACAGAACCGTGAACTTATTTCAAATCAAGCAACTAAACCGTTAGCATGTTAAAATTCAGCCGTTAGCATAATAGAATTCAAGCAGCTAGCCAAGCGACACACTACACGGAAAACTTACCAAAACTGCGTACTGCGCTGCGAACTGATCTGCCTTTTCCTGCGCATGGAGGAAGAGAGCTTCAGAACAATAAATACATCAAGATTTCGTTCGACTCACATATAAAGCCAAATTTCCGGTAGCAGCAAATGGATGATAGTTATTTCATTAAACAGCAGAATGCATCCAGCTATAAAGATTCGATGAGTTTTACAATGTAGCAATCAAGCTTCCAACAGGAGTTAACTTTTCAACCAATTCAGTTGCAGATCCATGGTTCACCCATAATTGACGCGTAACGTGTTATCTACTGTAATTGTATGACCTTATGCACAGGTAAGTCCACATTTGAACCTTGACACAAACATCAGCTTTTGTGAAAAGTCCCTCTGCACAAGGAAGTGGAGAAAGACATTTGAAAAAAAATTCACGCATGCTGGAAGAATGAAATGTAGAAAGTAGAGACGCACGTATCTGGAGTGGAAGAACTTGACAATAAGAGAGGATGTGTGAGGAAGGGGGGATAATAACATACAACAATAGGTGGAATGCAAATAGAACTCCGAGGATACAAAGTGGAGGGCCTCTTGACAGGTTCAACGAGGCTCCCTGGCCAGGATGTTGAACCTGTCCAGGGACCATCCACACTGATCAACAGTACGAAAACATTTACTGTCAAACTGAACAAGTGTACAGAAAGGACGCAATAGAGTACAGGATGATGTCTTACTCCTTCATGAGGATAGTAGATTGTTATGATTGCATCCTCTTTTATCGGACCATCTACCTTCACACGTGGTCCACAGGGATAACTCACAGGGTTCGACATCGTAGGGAGCACGTGATGAGGAGGAACAACGTTCGGCTGAGTATCATCATCCTGATCATCACCGAGTTGGACCACTGCTTCAACCATAGTGTCTTTGCCGCGCCCACATAAGACCAAGCGTGTTCGAGATCGCACCAGCAAGGGAGGAAGATTAACGCCTACACATTACACGAGATTCAACGGATCATCCCATGCATTTCTCGGTCAAATGAAGGTCGGCAAACCACATATAAGAGCAATGCCCACCATGTAAATTTCTTATAACTGGCGACTCCGCAATATCATTTTAAATCAGCTGAGGTTCATACGTAAGCTATGTATGGCTAATGCATGAGCCGTAAGTTGCAAGCAGTTTCAAGTGAATCCGGAATACAGTAATTTGGGCAAACAAAACATCGCTTCGAGGACGTTGTTCCAAAATAGGTAAAAAACCATGAACAAACCTTGCAAAACTTGCTCTTGCTTGATGAACTGCAAAAAGCGAGTCTTCCTGGCATTTATATTACCACCAACAAGAGAGTTGGCCATGCTCTTGCGACCCTTTGGCTCTCTGTTTTCTTCGGTACACGAGCGATCGAAAAGAGCAGCTTCCAATAGCTGAAACGAAGGAGGATTTTTGTTGGGTGGTGGAAGCTCCACCTTCGGTTTCTTTTTGACGTGCAACTGATGCCTGCAGCAAAAGTGTGGACACAGCGATGTCAATTATATGTTACAATTATAGGGTCCGATCTAAAGATATCAGGGAGCCGGAACATTATGAAAGGACTGATGCGTCGAGCAAATAATATGTTGGGTTCGGAACAAGTCTGCGAACTTGGCGATCCCACCTTGTTTGGTATCAGAACGCCCCTGGCATTAGGACTACTCGCGGCAGTCCGGCAAAACGACGTGGAATAGTATTCATAAGACTTTTATCTTCACTTACTACTTAACTCTTTATACTATGGTCAAAGTTTTTTGCTATTGAATTAATCAGAACCTATGACAAGTCTAGAAGATCTTAACAGCGAACGCAAAATACCACTCCCCGCCGATTCCCAGAATTACAGCTTCACATCTCAGAAGTTTGAGCTTCTAATCTGGACGACGGTGGGAGTAGAATACCTGTGAATGGCTTCGAGCAACGCCGCCATGGTGTCGAGATTTGTCTTCTCAGCTTGTCCGGATCCGCTGGGACCAGACATACCTGTTTGCCTCTGACCACTTAGCTGTTGACCCGACACTGTTTGCTCTGAATTCATGCTTGAGCTACAGTGGGATGCACTGATAGATGCAGTAGATGGACTACTGAGCATAGGGGATGGCATTGAGTTGGAAAGGCTGTTGGGTGAAGCCGCGGCTTGAAGCTTCGGTAACGAATTCGACCGTCTCCGCAACGTATATGCATTCATTTGAGAAGGATTCATATGTGCTGACATTTGGGCTGATAACATATCCATTTGATTCGTTGCAGAGGAGAAGTTGTGTGCGACCTGTGTGGGTGATTTAGGACCAGAACCGGAAGGCGAGGCCGGCACCAGTGGTGAACCAACTGAACAGATAGGGGGTAGTCCAGGTAGTCCGGACAAAGGCATAGAACCTGTCTTCATAAGACCAGGAGACGCCATCTGGCCAGGCTTTTGAGGACCCTTCTGATTAGAAATTAACTTCCTCTTCAGCATGTCTTCTTTTTGCCTCATCTCTTTCTCTCCTTTGAGACCCACCTTGCTATCGCCCACCTGCCCGACCTGCTGCCAAGCTTGAGCAAACGGACTGGGCGCCTGCCTAGACTGAAGTGTACGTGGAGTTTGAGGTGTATGAGGCCGCTGTAGTTGCTGTTCTGACTGATCAGGCATTGAAAGTTGTTGGAGAGTCCCAGGCTCTTCCTTGATCTCAAATTTAACTTCCCACTCCATTCCAGCTTTTTCAGCTTCTTCCAGTTCCTGCTCACCGTCATGTATTGGCTTACTGATCTCCATGTCTGACGGCTTTCCATCTAGCTGATCCTGATCAAACTGCCCAGAAGCCCTCAAATCAGAATGAGAACCAGTTTCCTGCGACGATTGTTGAGTCTGAACACCCATTTGTTGCATCTGCTTTTGCGATATGGAATCCGTACTCCTCTGTTTTTCAAGCTTCGTTTGTTGTAATTGATGAACCTTCTTGTTTCGCTGCAGATCTTTCTGATGTTTAGCATCTTGTTTTTGCTGCATTTTCTGTTGTTGATGGTGAATCTTCTCAGCCTTCACATGAGCAGATTTCAATCTCTTCGCATCTCGAGCTGCTGCTGCGAACTCTTTACTGTCCCGTTTCCCTAGAAGAGAGGACGCTGATGCCAACTTCATGTCTCCACCAAAACCAGTACTTTCGTTTGCAGACGTGAGAGTAGACGGTGTTGCAGGTGTTGCAGGAGTACTTGAAGAAGGTGAGGAGGGAACTTGAACAGGGGGTATTGATATAGCTGCAGGAACAACACACATACCTCCGCGATTTAGACTCGTCGGCCCAGACGATCCCTGAGAAGTGGAGGACTGCACTTGAGTTCCTCGTTGTGACTGGGATTGTCCATGTTTTCCAGCTTCGGAAGAAGATTCCAAACCTGCTTTTGTTTTGGGTTTTTGATCCATTGGACCACAACCGAAAGAACCAGAAGCCGACTTACCGTACATTCTTTCCAGCGCCATCCTCCTCGCTGTGGTCAGGCTGCCTATTTTCGCCAGTGTTTTAGCAACAGCAGCAATTCGCTGACGGCGAACTGAGTGACCTTCCTTCGGCATCCTGTAGCGTCGAAACATACGCCGACCCACGTTGAATTTCATCTACGCGAACAAAACCAAGAATCAGCTTTGAGGCGAGGGCAATTCTCTTGATTTCCATGGTGGAACCTAGTGACTTCCAACAACCAGGGCAGAGCCACCACGTTGTTTTGTTGTATATCACAAGGACAGCGCAACAAAGAGTGGCGTACAACACCCATAAGGGGAAGAAGGCAGGACAGAAGAAACGGTAGCTCCTAGACATGAAAGAAGAGCTTTGAATCTCGGATCCAAACCTTGTTATAATTTGCGATGTATGCCTTTTTTGCAACTTCAGGTGTTGGGTCTAGAGATATAGGTGGTTGTACGGCCTTCAAAATCTTTGCCTCAACTTCCTGGTATACAGAGTGCTAAGGAGATCAGCACAGTGGTCAAAACAGATGATCGGAAAGATAGATGCAAGAAACTGACAGAAAGTAATCACAATCCCCGAAAGTCCAAGCACATAACCAGTATACCAGTATATCGGAATATGTCCACGTCTCGTCGGTGATCGCAGCTATATCACTGATTATTGTCTCTGCAGTTGGCCTCAGGCGAACTCTTTGCACAGAAGCAACCCATTCTTGCACCTTATTCGAATTGGTGTACGGAGAACCGGACCAGGAATCTCTCGGATCATGCGGTATGGAACTGCGATAATCGCGCAGCTGCGTGGAGCACAAGCCGGCACGACAAAAGTTACGTGTAGCCATAACCACAACGGCCACATGATAATTGTTGAATCGGCCAATAACATATATGACGTAAGTAAGCTCATTGTAAGCCAACCAATATCTTCCAAGTTCTTGAACAGAAATACGAACCAAAAAGGACGACATAAAATTACCTCACAAAAGATACACCCATCTATGTATGTGCAAGGTATGTCTTCCAGAAGACTCTGCGGGATCCAGCCATTGTCAATGTCCTGCCATGTCGTAGGCCATGAGAAGATATGTTAGCATAAATTCGAAGTAAGCCAGTAAGGATCCGGCGTGAAAGTTATGTCGAACGAGAAATCAGCCAGACCACAAAAACATCGAAATAAGCTCAGATGATTTCATCTTGCAAGCCACATGACAAGGATCTTCTTCCAACATACTGTGACTGCATGACTACGACAAAGGTTAACAGACAAGATATTTGGTCATCAACAAGTTAAAAATTCTTAAACAATATGCTATCAATGCTACAGATTGCTAGTTACTTGTGGTGAATGATCACTAGTACACCGTCCACAAAACTTCTAATTAACAATGCGTCATTTGAACATTACAAACTTCACATTAGGTGGAAGGACTTCAGTGCGAGAATAAAATCGTCAACGACGAATTTAACTTGAAGAAGAGAAACTGAGAAGTTATGTGAAAACCTCGAGCAGCAAAGACTTACAGATATAAAACTTGAGGTCGTGCGATCATATGGATAAACGTTATCCATCACCTCGAAACCCAATGGAGGCGCCTTTCCTCTCTGTTAAGAAAATAGGCAATATACACCTCGTTTTAATCAGTCCACACTCTGCGAAATCGAATGACACCATGAAGCATTCCGTGCAAGTTGAAAATTTGATCTGACAACGTATTCAGAAGTACATTGTAATGACTGCGTTGTGCACAATTTACACTGTAGCCTTGGGACTGTATAACGAAAACGAATGTTCAACTTTTAGCTAGATTTGTAGACAAGCACCGTCATAACTTTTAGCTAGATTTGAAGACAAGCACCGTCATAAGCGTAGCATCAATATACCTCAGTGGGTTTGCCAATGGTGAATCCGTCGAGAAAAAGGTTGAGTGCAAAAGATGCTTCCAAGGCTGACCCATGCGCAACAGAAGAGTCAGGAGAGAGGCAGTCAGAATAAGAATAAGAGTTCGTAATTGCAGTAATCAGTAGCCAATCCGTACAAAAGTTACTAAGGACACAAACGTAAAGAATGAAGAAACGATGCACGGCATACACTCCGGTTTGAAAAGTAAGAACGCACAACTATCCAGGTTGTCTTTGGAGCTTAAGGAATGCTCTCCCGCGTCTCCATTCATCTTGGACTGCACAGTCTGCAAACGACAGGCATGGGAACCATGAATAACAGTTTCAACGTCTAGGCATACCTTTCACAGCCAGCAGAATGCTCCAGAACACCTCATGGACAAATGCACACATCATCCATGTCTCGTACATGGAACTGAAGCTATGATCACAAACCGAAACTACTGGACAATTTGGTTTCTGAGCGGCCAGCCGGTGAACAATGGCTGAGACGTGGGCCGACTCAATTCCACACCAACCTTTAAAACAAAAACGAAGTATCCTTCCTGTGGGCTAAAGTAAAAGAAGCAGAATATTTTCTGCTGACTGGGCGTGTCTTTCTGCCGAGACCAACGACGGGCAGGCTTTTCTTCGACTGTGATTTTCTTACGTCCATCCTAGCAAGACGTAAGTTTGACCTCCTTCTATTGCCTATGATAAGCATAGACTTCACAGCTCACCGACTGAAACTCACAATCACAGCTGTACAATTTCCTACATGCCCTAAGCTTCGTGAATAAAAAATAAAAGGTTGAAGTTTACTACCTCCTCTCGCTTCCTCTTGCCTGAGATACAAGATAACCCATCCACTCCACTAAAGTCTCCTGTTACTGAAACTTTAGCCACTGAAGGGCTTGTCTCCACAATCTTTGAAGCCTGTGAACCTGACATATAGGCCTCTGTGCCATAGTTGGCTCCCCCAGCTGCATTACTAACTCCAAATTGTTGTCCACCGCACGACTGACTTGTCTTCAAAGAAGTGCAATCTCCAGGTTCAGGAGAAGAATTATTGTACGAAAACGGTCCCGGCTTCGATCTGTACCGGGTGCCAACTTTTGATATTTTGAACGACACCATTGCTATCAACCGCCAAGATGCTCACTTGCCCCCGGCGGAAAAATAACAAAACCGGCAGTGTTTAACTGAAACTCCTCGATGCGTGATCCAACTTGTCCTGGTCTAACAATTTTCCAACATCATCGAGCACCTGTTCCGTGACTCGGTCCACGACATCATCCATTGCGAGCCCGCAAATGCCCCGATAACACGCCAGGCTCCAAAGGCTGCACCAAGGTGGAAAGAAGAGCTCAATTGCGGAACTTTCCCTAAGCCAGATAATGTGGCGAAAATCCACGCCTCTAGACCCTGCGCTTGCACAATTGCGAGCAGAAGGTGCGCAAAAGCAAGCCCTACGACCAGGGCTCACATGCGGACTCGTACCTCTTGCCCGCCCATCACTTGGAAAAAGCATCAAATCACATTCTCGGCAAACTCACCAAGCACAGATCCAAGTGGACCGGCGATCTGGCGCAAGACCAGAGTGTGAGACCATCACACCTCTTGAAAGACAAGAGAACGCGGGGGCTCGCTCGAGCAATAACGTGAAGAACTCGGGAAGCAGCAAAAGGACAGCATCGAGGCGCGATGCGCAAGCGAAAACCCCGACGCCAGAGTTTCGGGGCGCGGGACGGTGCGCTTCGATCGACTTCGCGGGACGCCAGTCACGACACCTGAGCACACACAGAGAATGGGTCCGTAATTGGTGGCAAGAATCGGCCGAGCAGCATAATAGAGCGAGAGCCCAAGTGCAGCATATGCTGGCACCAAAGCAACGCCCGTCGCCCTCGAAGCCCACGACGGACGGCGAAAGATAACCCGCCGGAGAATGGCACGACGATGACGACGGCCCATTCTTGTGTACAGCACCAAGAAAGAGCTCAGACAGGCCTCCAGTTCTCTTCCTCTCTTTTGGCATCATGCTCCTTCTGCTGCCCATAATAATTTCCACTAGGTGACTCTATCTCGAGGCAAGCTTGTTGCTGTTACACTTTAATCAGGCCAGGCAGCAGGAGGACTAATACTTGGGTATACCTGCCAACACTAAACATGCATTGATGGTATTTTGTTTGTAAGTAGATCGGTGACCATATTATACTTTAGACATTTATCTCGTACTGGCATACACTTCTATGCATAGATGATGGTTTGGTGTAAATCACATGTGACGTTCGGTATATCCGAAATCATCTCATATCGTACTTTTATCATAAAAAATTGACAAATTTTGGATGTATATGTTATATATGTTGGAGAAGTAATCAAAACAAACAATGTCTGAAGTTGCGATATGTTCTTATATACATTGTACGACCATTTCGGCAACGTTGTTACGTTGAAAATCCAACAACATAATGTTTGCAAAGATTTTTCTTCAACACATGCATGACGCGCAAGACTGATTTCATTATATTACATCTCTCCCAATGTTCTTCTCCATATACCGTATCGATTTTGTTCAACGTGATGATAGCTCTCCCAAACTAAATCCGTGGTTGCTAAAACTTACAAATGTTTAAAACCATCGATACGTAGAATTTTTTTCTTCAAACACACACAAGAACAAAAGAAATCAACATGACTTACTCAACTCACCACATGCACTTGGAACATATGACCACCAAGAAATACAAATGGAAACTACTTTTTTAATTGTACACATATGAAACAAACAGCTTATCATGGTATTATGCTCCAAAAATACGACAATAGTAAATAGGTACTGTATACATAACATATCCAGAGTAACAAGTTCATTTTATTTCGAAAGTAAAAAAGAATCACGTTCGATCACACTCTTTAAAAGTATAATCCTTCACTAGCATGTTGGCGTAAAAAGCTTCATAGTGTTTTGAAGTATATTGTATTAAAAAATAAAAGTAATAAACCAGACACCTTTGTTGTAAATAAAAAACTCCTCCTTCACTTCTTTTACAAAATTGCATAATCATACATTTCATATATATGTCCATGTAGATTTTCTAATCACAACGTTTGCACATTCATATTTAATACAATCAAATAAAAATCTCAAGACATCTTCTCTTTACGCAAAATATTCATTTCAGTGTCCAAATGAGCAACAATTCATATGGACCCATACCTCAGTTGACATGTTGTAATGAGTATTGAATATGCATAAGGAAGAATCAAATTTTCTAAATTAAAAATTTACCATAGTAATGCTAAAAATGGCTAAATTTTACTAAAAATTAACATTACAAAAAAAATGTTGGATCATAATAAATTTCTAATTATCATAAAATAGCTTGAATCTTTAATTTTTGTATCATAACATTAAAAGATGACATTTTTCCATTAACGTTTTTTTCACCCAGCTCCAATTATTCTATTTTACTTTCACACACATAGAGACTAAAAAAATTATAAATGATACCAACTATTCATAAAAAATGTATTCATCATTTGACTATATTTTCAGCAAAGACATAATTATGATAATTTATCTCGAAATATTCTGAATGAATATATTCTTGCTTCATTTTTAGCCAAGCGTTTTGTACAAAACTTACAATGATGACTTTCTCTTTCTCGAATATTTAGAATTATTTATCTGGAAATAGAACACAAAAAATGTGCTAATTGTATCATAATTTATCAAATTTTAACCGCAAGTGAAAAAAATCAAACAAACAAATCTAGAGGTAAAAGCACTATGGAGACATGATTTATCCAACATCTTGTGATTTTATGGTAGTTGTGAATAAATACTACCATTCACAACCAGTAAATTTCAGTCCCAAAATATTCTAAGAAGGAGAAGTGAATTGTGTAATTGAACAGAAGAGTAGAAGGAATGAAGTATAATAATAATAAATATTTATATCAGAATATGATATTATGTTACAACATTAAATAAATTTATTGTTAATGTTATTTATAAATTTGTGTCAATTGATAATTTTGAGTCTTCAACTGAAGTTTCACCCTTACATAAATTAAATATAATGTTAGAATTATATATTTTAGATGGTATTTGAACATTATTACTGCTTCATACATTCACACTAGGTGTTGCAATGCGGCATTTTAATTTGTCAGACATGATACAAGATGACGAGCATCGAAGATAGATTTCATCAGCTACAAGATCATTGATAATCATACTGTGCTACACTGACGAATTGTACGTGTAGGTTAATGAACAGTTTTGAAAGGTGATTTTTGTTCCTGGTGCTGAATTAGACAGCTTGTATATTTTTCTCATTAATCGTGGATTTGTTACAGAATAGTATACATTTTTCTTTTCTTGAATGTAGTTAGATGGTTGGTTTGAAGGTTTATATGTTGCAATACATGTCTAGCGAGTTGAGCGTCTAATATTTTCAATACTTTTGTAATTTGAAAAACAACCGTGTATGATGTGTCACTTTTCAGCTAGTAAGAAATACTTTCTGTACAAATTATATCCTCCTACAAAGTACATGTTCACAATATTTCACAGTTGTCACTGTCACTGTTTTAGTTTGTCACAATATTTAGATTTATAATTTTGGCAAAAGTTTAAATTGTAAGTGTGCAGTAGAGATAACGTTTGTTAAAGCACATGTGTTCAAATTGAAACGTGTAAAAAATAAAATGAACTGTATTGTATACATCACTACAGGTGATACAACAAATATTCAACATTCGAACCAGTTATCGAAACTGCCGGAAATGCGCTGCTGACTCAATTATCATGCGAATATGAGCTGTACGAACATCATTGTCGACACATGTGCTGGGTGTTACTTTCGCATCTCAAAGTATCATTAAGGAGTATAACTTGCTCCAAATAACAGGTATATTATTTGGAGTACGCTTAATCTTGAACTCCGTCCACAGGAAGGTCGTGAGAACTGTCAAGTGACCTGACCAGTTTCAACGCTGGCCGATCCAGATGTCACGTTGCAAGTAAACACAGAACATGCTATAGTCAACAACGCACACTATGAATCTCAGTCAGGCCTGAATCACGCGAGGCATAATATACTATGCAGACAGAAGATGGACGACAGAGCCGGCCAAGAGGTAGCAAGATTCTACTTGACGCGAGCTGCGCTTACAAACTCAATCAAGCCAAGCTCATTCATCCACTTCCAGAGAAGTTTCTGAGGACCAGTTACTAGTCTGCCTTGCTAGCATCACCACCAAAGGCCTACCATCGGAGTGGGATTGGTTCAGCTTAGTAAGACATCAACTCAAGACAAGATTTCGGATAAAACGGTACGTCTGTCTAGTTGTCAAAAGCTTCCTCATCATCGTCGGGCAATGGCTGAGCAGCAGCAGCGGCCAATTCAGCTTCATACTGTTGCTGGGCAGCAAGATCAATTTGAACCTCCGGCGGGGCAAGAGCAGGGGACTCCACAAAGTGCAAATTCACGTCGCTGTCGATGAAATGCGGGACACAGATCAGCAGGGCGCAGAATGAGAAATATACAATATCGATATGAAGTGCAAGAGATACTGTACTACGCATAAGTGCACTCCACATGAACTATTCTGCTGAATCGATAACGATCGGTAGGAATACTAGGGTACAAGCAGACACATATTTAGTTGAGGTCTTGATTTTACCCGGCTAACTTCCTTGCAAGGTAGAGGAAGGGTTTCTCGAAGTTGTAGTTACTCTTCGCCGAGATCTCGTAGTACTGGAGATTCTTCTTCCTGTGGAATGTGACTTGCTTGGCCTTCACCTGCCTGTTCTTTACATCGACCTTGTTCCCGCAAAGGACGATGGGAATGTTCTCACACACCCTGCCATTCAAAAATCATAGTTCAGGATAAGGATCTCTACCTCAACAGGTTATAAACCAAGTCAAACTCGGCCTAGCTGTAGCAGGAGCTTATCCTACCTGCATAGATCGCGATGCCATGTTGGCACGTTCTTGTAGGTTAAGCGGGCTGTGACGTCGAACATAATGATGGCGCACTGGCCGTGAATGCTGCAGGTATACATGACGAGGAAGTTAATAGACAGGCCACTTCAGGCGTGCAATCGAGAGCACGGAGAACATTTCCATCATGCTTGCTCGGAAGCATCTAAAAAATTCCAGACGACTGTAAACTAGTGTTCGCTGCAAATTTACATCAAGGTGATCCACTGCTTAGCAGAAAAAACGTAATTCCGAAAACAAGCTACCTAGAAGCGTTGCGTCTTGATTAACAGAAAGAGAGCTCCGTTCGGATCGACTGTGGTTGCGTTAAACAGACTGCTTTGTACCACGAAAACCTAACGCGTACAGTAAGGCAGAGTAAAGCCAGAAGGTACTTACTAGTAACCATCACGAAGCCCTCCAAACTTCTCTTGACCGGCGGTATCCCAGCAGTAAAACCTAATTCGTCCGCAATTGGTGAAGAAATCTAGAGGATGCACCTCCACTCCAATAGTGGCTGTTCAGACGCACAAAGAAAAATTTAGTGCTTTGTTCAAGTGGAAATACTCAAATGATAAGAAGCTGGTATGGGTGTGCTCACTTACGTTCATACTTCTTCTCGAATTCTCCGGTCAAGTGACGCTTCACAAAAGTCGTCTTCCCTGCGTTTGCCATGTAACGATGTCATTGCCAGTTAGGAACAATCTAAGAGTTTTGGCACATGTTCGAGAAACTTCAATTACATCTGCGATAAATAAACAAACAAAACATCACCATACCTGTTCCACCATCGCCTACGATGACGAGCTTGAACGCAGGGCAGTTGTCAGGGGTAGTCTGCCCTGGCAAAGCCTGCAGCGATCACAAAAACTGATTGTTAGCTCCGATGAATTTGGACACATTAACCAAATATTCATGCGACACTACTTATCATGCCTCTCCGCTAGATGCTTCAGACTTGCGAACCCATCGCCAGTCAGTTTTCCCCAATTGCTTTCCCGACGTGTTCCGGAGACACTTCAGGCTTTGAGGTCAAAAGACAGACGTTTCCGTGACGAACGAAACAAGGTCTCGTCATCGGGTCCACTACATCGGCGTGGATGGGACAACACCCAGGTTTACAATTACTTGCTTGTAGGGTTAAGCCAGAAAGAAGTTCGATTTGCAATGTTTATGAAATCTTATGGCAGTTTACAGAGCAAGACATCGCCGCCAATTCATAGAAGGAAGGCAGTGAACGAGAGCGGGCTTGAGTTGGAGAGTACCATCTTAGAGTTGGATGTGACCGAGAACCTTCAACGCTTGGATACCGGAATGAGATGTGTTGAAAACAACTTCAAGATCTAGGGCCTGCGACAGAAAGCGGCTAGAAGTGTTAGGATCGATGCGCAGTCACGAAGTGGAATAAAATCAAGAAAGTCCCTTAACGACACGACCCTCGGCTTCTCGCGTAATAACGTAAAGCCATCAAGCCTGATGCATAACAAGAAAGAGTGCACAGATCGGTATGACGGAACTGGCGCCACATTTCTTGACCTACATTCACCGACCGATCGGCAACATACCGTAGATGACAGAAGCGGACGAGCAGATCTATCTCTACAAGAGGCGAAAATCTAGAACAAGAGCGCCAGGATGTGCAAATCGGGCGAAAAGATCGGCTGGAGACACGAAACAGCCCGAGAAACCAACATACCTTGAGGGGTGCTCACAGCAGCGGCAGCGATGGATACGAGCTTGGACAGCCAGTGAGCGAGAACGAGCGTGCGCAGGGTGAGGCGATGTGAAGGGTGGACGAGGGGTGAGATATGAGAAGGCCGGCACTTTCTAGAGCCGGAAAGAAAGGGAACAACCCTAAAACCAAAACGATAACGGAAACGCAAAGGAATGGCGGGGCGGAGGGACGGTCGCGGAGTGGTCCCCGCGGCATACGTGTCCGACGCATTCGAGCTCCGGTCTTGTCAAGGGTTACATGCGGCCCCCCTGGCGCGGCCCACGACGACCCGCAATGCCGGTCGACGGAAACCGGAGCCCGCCTGTCGCCCTCTCATTGGCCCAACTTAAACGAAAAGGCCCCGCTGCCCTGCCTGGAAATAGCGGCTATCTATCTCCGATGCGTTTTGCGCCGTGAGATCGACCATCGAACCGCCATCATTTAAACTTGGGGTCTGAGTTTCCAAAATCCGTTCGAATCGGGTTGCGCGCCCGGTTCGGGCTCAATACGGAGCCGCCGGACTTGCACCCGTGAATGCCTGGCATTCCATGCGCCCCGATAAGAACCGTGACGAGGAGACTGACATGCTCAGACCGTTCACTGGTTCAAAGAAGTGATTCGCAAGGCTGAGGGAGGGACTACACGGCGCCAAATTCCGTTTTAAGTCACATTTGCCGCGTATTCTTTGCTTGTTCATCAAGTCACGATTCCTTTTGTGTCTATGTTCTAACCCTCTCATCCTCTCGAGCTTCCGTAGCTTCTATGTACCATTTACTTCCTGTCCACTTATCCTAACGAACACACGGATTTCGCAGCAACGCTCAGGACAGAGAGTCCTATTGCATCTAGAAGACATGCACATGTCCAAATCTCTATCGCATCGAACATTTGTTTACGAAGAGTAAATGAAGTGATACCAAAATCTGCATTTTTTTGTTCTTGTGATAGACTTCAACATTTTTAATATCAACAAAAATCTTAAGAAACCAATTGAACCTCTAAACAGTGTTAGCATTTCAAATTTATTGATGATTACGATTGCCCGTGTTATTCTTATGACTATAAAAAGTTGTTATGATTATATATAAAATAGCTTTGAATATGTTTTTTAAATTATTCGTATTCAGTCCCATTTTCACGCTGTCCAACTAGAGAGTCAATTCTAGCGATAGTTTTAAGTGGCATACGCCATTAAATTAAAGTTGGAATCTCTTCAATGGTCATCCGTGTCAGGAATGAAACACTGACTAACCAACAAATTCAAGTACAAACGAAAAAACACCAACTTAGAAACACTTACAAGCTTCATACATATTGAAAAAGCCAAACGACGTATAGAGGTAAGATCATAACTCATAATTAGCTAAAAATGATGAAGCACATTTCATAAGAATTAACTTACAATCATATCAATTGTAAAACGACTGAATTTACGTAATGTTTATTCATCTGCCAACACAAGAAAATATATATGCTTAAAATAACATTATTGAAAAGTTGTCAGTTGTCCAACAGTTTTAAGTTCATACCACATACTACACTTGAGTACATCTGAATGATCACACTAAGTTCTATTATTATAAATGAAATAAATCAAAACACCAAAAAAATTGTAATTTAGACATACAAATAATAATCTAGAGTTTCTTGCTAAAACTTCAATGTTCTACGTAACTTGTCAACAATTCTATATTAAAATCTAAATAAAGACAAAACGTTTTATTTAGTATAAATATTATAATTGTTAATAATTAACACGCTCAAATTATTAAAAAATAATTTTTGGGGGGAAATTCATCAATATACATAGAAGAATTCTGTGAAACAGATTGTATACACTTATAAATAAATAGATAAAAAAAACTATAATAATTATACTACATTATGGACAAATAAAAATCTCTCTCATCTTCAATAATACTTGAAATTAAAATTTGCTTTTCCTATTTATATTATTGATTATCATAGAAAAATAAAAATTAGGATTTCTTGATTTCAAACAAAGATAACAACAAATTGATCATTAATCGTATATTTTTATTTTGAAAATAAATTAAAAAATCATACAATCATATTGTCTTCAGTATTTCTATAAGGATCAAGAATCGATCTTTGATTATTTTTTATCGATTTAATTTTATATTTCATGTTGCATACATTTCAAAAATTTCGATGTAGTCCATAATGATTATATAATTAATGTGAATTGCTTGCAATTGTGACAAAATAATAATAATAATATTTAAAGTTGTATTGAATGCAAATATTTTGATTATTCATATTATTTACAAATTATATTTTAAAACTCGTTAATTCATATTACATATGATTTGGGTACAGTTAAAATTATGTATTTAAATTTTTGTTAAAATTAATCGAACTTCTTGAAACTAATAAATTTTAAAAAAATTTATTATATTAAAATTTAGTTTTTATCTACATTATTTAAGTCGTTTATTTTAATCATGTTATGTAACATGAAAAGTGGTTAGACTATAAATTATGAATATATAAAACAGACAAAATTTAATGTATGACTATATAACTATATTTAGTGTGTTATAATTTAAATATTATTATATATGGAAATATAAATTAATTTGAGTTTTAATAAATTATACATAGTATATGCATAATTCACAACGATACATAAATCAACAATCTATGTCATTAACCGATAAATATTGAATGTGTTAATTGAAAATGACAATCAATAATGTAACTATGCTATAAATTCATAATGCTATTAAATTAACACAACTATAATGTATGGTGAATATGACACATTATCTTCTTGTACATGTTAGAAATACATATGTAATAAAATTATAAAAAAACATGACACATATGATTCATCTTCAACATTTTCGTTTAATCTCCAAATATATGGATTTTTAATTTTAGTATCATAATATTATATAAATCTCAAATTTTTATTTATTTATTTCATTATACAATCATTTATTTAAAAAGAAAACTCATATACTATTTTTATAACAGAATTTTGTTCTTGATGTGTATGTGCTTCATATCTTTAATAAAAATAAAATTTGAAATCTTTGTCAAGCTGATCATACCAATTTGACTTTACACGTTAAAATGATTATCACTTTATTATATAATTTTAAAATTTACATTTTTATTTAAATAAAAATCCTTAAATTATATTTTTTGAAATATGCAGTTTAAAAATTCGTCGATTTATGATCTTAATAAAACATGCTTGATATTTATATTTGTAGTTTACATGTCTGTAAGAATTTTTTTATTGAGATTTAATATTTTTCATATATTAAAATATATTTATAATTTCAGGGCTTAAATATTTTCTCTTTTGATAATTTTCTATATGAATAATTTCAAAGAGTTTGCTTTCAAATAAGAACAATGTATTATGTTCATATATCATCAACAACTTACAATACTAGCTCTTTTTGAAAATCATGAAAATAAAATTCAAATTTTTAAAATAAATCATATTATATTTAAAATTATTTAAACACTATAATAAATCAAAATTTTAATTTTAGAATATTGATAGATGTTGAATATAAACTTATATAAGCGAATTGTATTTTTATGTATTTGAATGTATATAAATATATTGAAAATTTCTTTAAATCATGTTATTTTATAGAGTTTTTAAATGTTTGCCGTATTATTGATTATATTTTTTATTGAACTGAATCTTATGTGATATTTTTTAGTTTATTGATATTTTCTGAGGCTTGATTTATGCTTTTATTTATTTATTTATTTATCTATGTAGTAGAACAATATTTTGTCGTCATCATGCTTAACTTGGATACAAATTTGAATGAATAATTAGTATTATAAATTTATTCCCATCACATACACTAGTTTTGTTTTGATGTATTCAATATTCATCATATATTTTTTGCATCAAAAGCATTTATCTTGAATGTAATTTGTCTGAGTATGTATGTTTATCATGAAAAATAGTACAAAATTTGAAATATAAAATATAAAATTTATAGATATATTGATTAAATTGATAAACTCCAATTTTTGTTATAAATAAAGCAATAAGTTTTCAGGTAATGATTGGCTAAATTACTAAATGTCATAGACTCAGTACTCACTGAAATAAATTTTGATATATATATATATATATATATATATTATAAAAAATATATATTTGCATTTATAACTAGTAATTCAATCAAACATGAGTATATGGTTTTTAAGTACAGATTTATGTGATATGTTATCGAGTATGGATTATAAATTATGCAGGGACACAATATTGATAGAATTTGACTGTCACGTGAAAGACCTAAAGCTAGATGTGAAGGATATATATATTGAATCATACATAGAAGAAATTTTGAATGAAAATTGACAAGGTCCTACGTCTTTATTCTATGGATGTTCTCTAGATGTGTTTATGACATCTCATATACATCTGTTCTGCCTTATTACTATCAAATCATGTGGTATTGCATGGCTGTAATTTGATTTACGTGCTATAAAAGTAGGGAAATTTGATTGGCAAGTTTACATAAGATCTTGAAAGAATGAATGTTCGACTCAAAATAGCAAGATCACGGATTAACATTTGTGAGTAAAGTTAAAATGATTGGCCCCTAAGTGTGCAGTAGAGTAAAAAACTAGTGATCTGTATATGTAGATGTCATTGGTGAAAATCGGAAAAATCTGAATCTCAACGAATAAGCCGTTTCTATTCAACTGCTAAGACAGAATAAAAGATGTCCCAACGACAGAACATATAACTTCCAGTCTTAAGTCAATATTTTAAATATGCAAGTAAAAATTTACTCAAACAAAGCATTTTTGGCTCCATTCTTTATTTTTTAAAGAAAAGATGTTTGTATACAGAAGAAAGGCAGATAATTACATATGGGATGATTTGGATGAAGGGCATAGTAACAGTCTAGGTAAACAATGAGCGAAAGAATCCATGATTTGACATGTTGTAAATAAAATACCAGCGTTTCAATTCTATATCATTTTTGAGAAAAATATGAATTAAAAGTGTCTCACTGAGAAATCGAGTAGAAAATGACAATATGCTGAAAAGACTATGTTATTCTGCAACTTGGTGGTCTTTCCATGGTATATTCCTTCTCTCGTTGTCCCGTTTGGATTTACGGGCTTTGATTATATATCTTTAGCAAATCCTTGATCATTCAGGTGGATCGTTAACCGTGATTTTGTTGTACATGTTTATGATAACAACAATGGACTGCATTTTGTCTGTCGGTAATCTGTTTCGATTCTATTCGATTCGACCTGCACCCAACGGCTCAGCAAGCGTAGCCTGACACCCGGACAACGAGTCACTCTCAGTTCCGGAGGCGAACGGATGGTGCAACGGGCAGAGGAAAGCCTGGCTAGTGCGAAGTGTCGTCCAGATGCGCGGCCGGCTGACGTCAGCGAAAATGGGAGGCCTGATCATCTTCGGACCACGTGAATCAACGACCATGTACCGGGCTGACGATTCTTCGCGTGGCGAAAGGTTCAATCAATCCCACTTTCTAAGGTTCTGGACATGGCAACTTTCCGCTTCCGAATTGCGTCATGCGGTGAAATTCCCAGTGCAGGATTAGAGTGTCGTCCGCTAGTGCCTCTCTGCTATTCACGAGAGAACGGCCTCCATAGAGTGTGACGCTACGGAGGTTCGCTTGTAAGGACTCAGGAGTCACGAGGTAAAGACGTCACAATACGACAGGGCGATCACGATTTGACTCGTGTCAGGTGTTGGTGTCAGATTTTTTGATGGGTCTACTTCTCGACTAGCGTTGTGATGGTTCTCAGCATGTGCCAATAAGATTTGCCTACTTTTCAGATTGACAGTATTGGCAGAAAATACATACTTTCATACGAACCTTCATCATAGCACGTATTTCTAGTTCGTGAAATATTCTCTGTTGCAATACTCAGATATTTTATAAACAACGGAAACCAGACATAAATCAATTTTTTGTTCGTTTGCCTTTACTAGAACAGTGTTTCAATTTTATTTTCATAGATTCAAGTCTCGTACATGTGGTGTATCATGCACGATAAGAGTCTCATAGTGGGGAAACTAATTTGTTTCCTCGGACTGCACATGTGTAGATTCAATGACACAAAGAACCCATCACGTACTCTCGCTGCCTTTACCTATTGTAAGAACAAGTGAAAGGAATCAAGATACCGACCTTGCAGAACATGACAAGGTGCAAGGTGGTCACTCATTCATTATCCTTGCCCAAGAGTGACTTGAATCTTCGAGAAAGAGTTTGACGTTGTGATTGAGTGCGGACGCAAGTCAACAAGAGTCTGTCCGCACAAAGTCGGTGACAAATGTTTATCTATAATGTACAAATTCTGGGTGTTCTTGTCATTGTAGCTCTGTAGAAAACAGTGGCTAGAACCTAGAGAGGGCAGTGGCGGTCAGAGATGCCTTTGCAAGTTGTCCACCTTTCGCAATAGTTCCCCTGGAGAGTGATACAGCATTGCGGTAAATCCGCGGAGGTCCTTACGGCAGAGGACCTACTACAAGGGTATGCTCGACATTTTCAAGATATGGTCAGTCGTTGGTGACGACCTGACGCGGTTCCTGGGGCGATGCAGCCTGCACGGCTGTGACGCCAGAAACGAGAAGTGGAAATCCACGAGATGTGTCGGAACGGCGACGCCGAAAGAAGTGAAAGGAAGAAAGAAGTAATTTGCGGCGCTGTAGTGGAGCAAATCATAATGAGGATTGTCAAATAACGAATACCGCAAGAAACGGGGCGAGAAGGGTGAGGAGGAAGTGCTAAGAGATTATAATTTTCCATGAATACGCCCAGAGAGTCAAACTTCGGTGCGTTTCCCGACTGTAATCAATCGGTGGTGGAGAAAAGCTGGCTGAAGGCCCCGATTAGTTCCTGAACGATGGAGTTAACCAAGCTTCGGTCTTCTGCATCGTTCCCGGTCTGTTGATGCATATAGGTTTGATGCCTTCGGAGAGGCTACACCAAACTCATTGTGTCCATAAGATTCCCAATTCGCCCTGAGAAAGTTGAGAACGTAAAAACCTTATTGACAGTGAACCGAAATAATGGGAAAACGATAAGAATGGGGTTACAGCGTTCAGAATGCAGACTTTGCACTGAATGAACACTAACGTTGGCCAGAACATCGAAGTGAATTACTTGTGTGCTGGATTGAAGTTTTCTTTACTGTCATCCCAGCACGAAGTCGACCACTCGACCACTTTTGAGATTCGGTTCTAGGATCCGCTGTACGATATTTGGAACAACTGTGGTGAGCTGGATGCTCAATCGTACAAGAGATGGTTTAGTGAGAGCAATGTCCTGGTGGCTCCCCGCGAGTGGCAGCAGCAATTTTCGATTGCTTTTAGACAATCCATTCAGGCCCGTGTAGTTTCCTGTCATAAGCCCCAGATAATCCACGCGAGGCTGTCGTGGCGGATGGAAGAGCTGGGACGGTTTATTGGCCGCAGAGAGGACTCTTAAATGACTGAAGTTGCTCGATGCATCAGATGGCTTACATGCCGGTAATCACAATCTTTGACTCTGCGGAGTTCTCTCATTGGCAGTGCTGGTAGGGTCCACTTTAGGTCCACCGGTTTGGTCGACTCACGTGAGTTGCCTGAAGTCTAAAGACTCTGAAGGGAACACGTGCACATCCTTGGGCTTCAATGCGATTTTTCGAAGGCTCTTCGGAAATCTCATACGCACATGCTGTCACAGGAAGACTTTAGGTCTTCAGTAGGCAATGCGTGCCAGTAATTTTCATACTGTAATTTAGAAAATAAGGAGTTTTGTCTCCTGACTGAGGTGCGTACGTCCAAAGTGGACAAAATGCCGGCAGAGCAATTGTCAAGAGTCTGCCAATTTTTGGTTCAGTTATTTCTCAAATTTTGTGTGTTCTCCACCTTGTGGGTGCGCAAGGTGATCGCTCCAAGTCGTAAACGGCACGAGAGATCGACACAAAAGTTGTCCAGTCAGAAGTCATCGTTTTTAAAAGAATACGGTGACGATTATGGATATCAGGACGGACCCATATCCGTTGATGAATTGCGCTCCAAAGAATTTGCTCGTCTCCAAGGTGTGTGACAATTTTTCCAGAATTCATTCGAATTTCTCGAATTTCGACTTGGGATGATACTTACGGGCTGTAGATTGCTGAAGCAGATTGCTGACTTGTAGGATACTGTTGGAATTCAACAGGAAGCGTTTACCTGGACCATGCGGGGACGACGCTCTACGCCGAAAACCAGCTGAAATCAGTTCTCTTAGAATTTTCGACGCGCCTTTATGGAAATCCTCGTATCCAATACATGTTTAGCGGCTGTCATAAGGGATTGTTGCATTATTGGCTACTGATTTTCGTAAATGAGGCTACAATTTGATCCTTTTGATCCTTTAAGTGACTCACACAGTGGACGAATTGTTGGTTTTCATGAAAGGCTGTCAAAGCCAGCCATACACGTATCACTTAGTTTCTCCTGGTTGTTAAAGGTACCTTGTCAAGCCAAGTGCTTGACACATATCCTTGACGAAGCAAGCTGTCGATCTTTGTAGTTGCCAATTTGGGGTCGTAGAGAGTGGATGCCTTTCTGTACTATGCTTGTTATCCTGTTAGTTGTTCACATCATTAGTTTCTTTGCTTTCACGAATTGCACTTCTTAACACTCGTCCAATTCAAAGATAGTCAGAGTGAGAGCAGTACTTTATCATCGAGCATCGTCAAGGCTGCGCGCGCTCAGGTCGAACTCCGTGCGCGTACTACGTGTTCCAGTGATGTGGAATAATCAACCTTGCATTTGTGCTAGTCCTATTTTGTTACCAATACAAGTGATTACTGAGTGGTTGACAGGTTTTGATGCGACAGACATTTTAGTAGTAAACGCTAGAACGTTTGGTCTCAGTCGTTGACATTTGAATGTTAGGCTTCGGTTGCGTCAACTACCTCTTACACAGATTATTTCAGGTCTTGGCGTCGTGCAATGCATCAGCTGAGGAGTACAGTTGTGTCTTTACATCTGGAGCAACAGCCGCTTTGAAACTCGTAGGAGAAACATTTCCTTGGACGAATGAGAGCCAATATATGTACACAACGGAGAACCACAACAGCGTGCTGGGAATTCGAGAGTATGCTCTTGATCTCGGGGCAACGGTAACTCCAGTCGATATTTTTCCTTCGAGTTCAAAATTAAGTGGTGAATCTGGATCAGAGGAATTTGACGTGAGAAAGAGGAGCTCTCAAGTACGTGGTCCTTCAGGAACTTCAAGTGATCATATTTCTTCTCGTGGTAAGAGGTTATCCTTCACACATGCAGGTCGAATCTGTCTATGCACTTTTGTTTGATCACAAATTTGTTTGTACTGTTATGAATTGTTCAGGGATTTTTTCACATATTTTATCATACGAAACTTTCATTCACCCATTGAAACAGAATCCGCTGCACACTAAAACTTACAGAATTCGCTTGATGGGCATATGTTTATCTGTCGATTAAGAAGTATATATCTTGGTGTGCAGGTCATGCGGTGTATAATTTATTTGCTTTTCCACACGAGTGCAATTTTTCGGGAGCAAAGTTCGATCTAGGATTAGTTTCTTACGTCCAAGAAGGACGACACACGCACTTTCAAAGGTAAAGGGATTAAAATTGACTGAACAGATGTATCGACTCGATATACCGAGATCCTCATTTACTCTCATATTTTAACCAAAATCTGTTGCTTACTGAGTAGAGCAGTCAACCTTCCACCTGTGATCACTTTCAACCAGCAGGCTTCTTCACGATAGTTCTGATAAAGATGAAGATATATTTTCTGTGGTTCATCTAGGATGATTCAGTTACTTACGATCTTCCTTAAAATGTACTCAGAGGACAGTGGTTGGTTCTTCTAGATGCCGCTAAGGGTTGTAGTACCAGTCCACCTGATCTTCGAAAATTCCCCGCCGATTTTGTTGCCATCTCCTTTTACAAGGTCAGCACTTTAGTAATTTATAATAGTTTGGTTGAATTAGATATGTAGACCGTGATATGTGCAAGAAATAATGTCGCCAGTTTTGACTCATTCTCCTGTAACGTCGATACTTTTCACAGAATTAGGAATCTCTGAATATACGAAAATGTTAGCAAGGGTGAATATCTTATTCCTGATGCTCTAAGTGACCGGGGAATGACCGAAGAAAGAGCCATGATTGAGTTCTTAGTTGTACATCGTTGCATGCTGCTGATTCGAGAAAGTAGAAATTTATTTTTTGAAAAAATCAATTCGGTCTAGGTAAAATATATGTTTTCAAGAAACCAATTACGACTTGTGTTCATGTGTCTAGATATTCGGATACCCAACGGGCCTCGGAGCTTTACTTGTTCGAAAAGGTACTGTTTTCACAGTCTTCATTCATACATAGCCTATCGCCACAAATGTTGTATGGATGTTTAAACGCACAATTTTCTCAACCCAATGCATTGGTACTTGGGTTTTTTCAAAGTTTTTGATCATCCTGATTGGATAGCAGGTGCATCAGAGTTGATGAAGAAGAAGTACTTCGGAGGAGGTGAGCCGGATGTATGGCATCTTACAGAAAACTTTGCGTTTGTTGAATAGTCGTTAGTTGAAAATATTATCGAGGTAGGATGCTTCTTGAGTGACCTGTACGTAACGTGATGCTTGAAAGGCGTGATATTGAGGCAATTTATTTACCGATTGTGGCTGCTGGTGCCCGGCACATTGATACAGGGATATAAGTTTTGTGTTGCAGTGAACTTTTGGTGAAGTTTTTTCGAAGAAGTCAAAGATGTGTTTGTAGCTCGCTACGTTTTCTTGGATTCCTTAACAAAATTTTGAACTTTTTAGCTTCTATTGTCAGGCACTGTAGCCGTATCAATTGCTGATGAAGATTTCGTCCAAAGAAGACTAAATGTAGAGGAGCGGCTTGAAGATGGGACAATATCTTTTCTAAGTATCGCTGCTCTTCGTCACGGCTTTACTGTTCTCAGCCAGTTGAATATGGCTGCCATTCGAAGGTAAGAGTGAAGTCTCTGCCTCTTGGACTAGTTTGACCGGTGGGAGTCTTGCTGCTATCAAATGGTTACGGACACAAAGCTTGTAGTGTCCCTAGTTTTAAAACAACACGATCAGTTCTGTTCTTCTCATAGGGTTTTAGGAGTTGTCCTCTCATTTTAAGATTGAATAATTCGTATGACAACCCTTGACTAGTAGTAGATGACGTAATGACACAAGATTATAATGAACAAACCGGTCCTCATGTAAAGCGTTTGCCTGGTTATGAAGCACATATGGATGGACTGACTTCTGCTTCATAAGTTTCTGTATACGATGGATCTCCTCCTGGGAGTGAACTCATATTAATTCATATCTTTGCGTCTCTTGGTACAGGCACACGGGATCATTGACAGGCTACACAGCATCCAAATTGGATGCCTTTAGACACTATAATGGCCTTCAAGTGTGCACATTGTATGGCAATCACGCTAGCAAAATGAAAAAGGTAAACATATTGGTCCTGCTAGCGGATTTGTAGCAAGTTGTCATATTTATGTGTGTGACTATGATGCTATTGCAATTGAGCAGATTCTTTTGATTTCTATTCACAGCCCTCCTTCGTGGTTTTTGGCAGAATTATTGTGATCCACATTCAGATCAGGGACCCATAATTGCCTTCAACATGAAACGAGCCGATGGTTCCTGGATTGGTTCTCGCGAAGTTGAAAAGCTTGCCTCTCTTAGAAGAATTCATTTACGGGTAAGCCGAGATTATAGAAACGCGTTAATTTTCTGGCAAACGGTCCTGTTCCAGCATTCGCGTCTTCTGTGAAATACGTTTGAAGTCTGGCTTATCTCAGTTGTTGTAAATTTCAAGACTGTATCCCTACTTAATGCGAGCTTTTGTGATCACAGACTGGCTGCTTCTGCAATCCGGGTGCTTGTGCTAAATATCTTGGACTATCATCAAATGATATGAAGGAGAACTTTGAGGTAATAAGGTTATGGCTGTTCTGCTGGGTATGGCGTGGGTTTCTCTCGGTGATGATGTAGTTGTGCATCAAGTCATTTAACTTCACGTCCACGTATAATATGAATGGTGAAGATTATGGTCTATTGTATTGGTTTATTGACTTTCAATAGTAGAATGATTGAATATTATGATAGCCCTGCCGAAACATGTTCAAATTACCTCAGACTGTATACCTTGCTTTCATGTGCTATGGCCGCAGGCAGGGCATGTATGTTGGGATGACAATGATGTCATCAACGGGCGTCCTACTGGAGCTGTGCGTGTATCTTTCGGCTACATGTCTACATTTGAGGACTGCTCGGTAGGATTTTATCTTTCAAAAATAATGTCTTATTCTAAATTCACCTTCCTAGGCCCGAATAGGTTCCAAGCAACGAAAATATTACCCTTTGGCATATGCATCAATTGCTTAATTATATAAACATGTAATCTTTCAGTGTAATCTGTCGGCTTGACGAGTGCATCTCTGGAGCCGGCTACTATGCACTGAATAAGACTGATGAAGCTCCTTCCTTTTTATGCAGTCTTTTTTAGATTTAATATCAACATATTTTGTGGAACGTTATAACTCTAAAACTGCTCCACTCAAAGGTGAGAATCAACACATGTAGTTCTGTACTTGTCAGGAAATACATTGTCAACCGCGAATCTAGCACCGTCCGTTGTCTGTGGCTTAAGCTGAGTGGCAACTTTACACAGTTTTTCTCATCACCTCAAGCTTTTATGAATGCTTGTAATGTGGAGTGTCTTGGTGATCAGGATTATCAAAGTGAACCACGTTTCATCACTGGAATTTTTTCGAAGACAGAGAGGTTGCTTACGGCCATCTTATCAGACAACTAGTTTCTTAGATGGCATCTTAATTGATAGTTGAAGGTGTGATTTGTAAAACAGAGAAGGATGTCAACTGCCTTTTCTCGGTGGTCTCAAACAGTTTCGTTGAAACAAAACCTTCCGGGGGTTCGACAGTATCTCTTCAATCAATTATTGTGTATCCCATAAAGTCTTGCGCCGGTTTCACTGCAAAGAGCTGGCCACTAGGAGATTGTGGTGAGTGCATGCGCCATTCATTGTTTTGAGAAGCGATCCAGGATTTCCATTGACTTATTTTTTCTATGAGGGACAATCTTCTTGTGTACCGCAGCTTGCTCGTGCTGTTTGCTCCTTTGGACCCTACTTCTGACGAACGTGAAATTGTTTTACGTTGAATAGGACTTTTATACGATAGAGATTGGCTCATAAAGTCGACGTCTGGAGAAGTTCTCACGCAAAAAAAGGTAATATATTTTTTAAATACTCTGACGCTAGCAGCACTGCTTGTTCTTATCTGCCAAAACAATTTATACATTCGACTGTAATACTGCATATACTAGGGCTCTCCTACAGTCACAAGCTCATCGTTCTGATCGTATCATTCTCATTGTGATAGTGTCCCTCAATGTGGTCGATCAAGACACACATAGATCTGGAGACAGGTATACTACATGTGGAAGCTCCAAATATGAAGGGTGGAATTGACATTCCTCTGAATAATGTGGCTAATTGCGAGCCGTCTAGCAATGTTACCTTGTGTTCTAACCCGTGAGTGTCTGGCACCTAAACGCCCCGAAGAGTTACGGTTATGTTACTATTAGCATGTGTGCAGCATCTGTAGTTGCCTGGAGCAAATGCCTTAAATTTGCGGAAATTAGCATCAAAGGGTGCATTCGAGCGTGAGCTCGTTTGCTTGCTTTATACAGGTAGTTAGGACAGTATAGGACTTTGTGGCTACATCTTTACTTACATGGTTTGAATCCTTACATTGTTCGTAAACACCACTTACAGCGTACTGGCTTCGCTATACTTTGTGGTTATTAATACAATTTTAGCCAATAATAGAACAGCTAAGGCTCTAATGGGTGCATGAAACTTGTTTCGAGCTTTTCGAACTGTCAGTAGAAAGTTGGAGCTGTGCTAACAGCTTATGTTTTTGAAGGGTTGGAGCAAACCAATGCGGACTGGATGCTGATCGCTGGTTTTCAGAAGCCTTGGAAACACCTTGCAGCCTTGTCAAGAGGGACGTTAAGAGCCGTTTTATTAAACCCAGGAGATCAACTATTGGTAGTGGGGATAAGAAAGTATTTGAGGAGGAAGAAACAGAATTAAGCTTTGCAAACGAAGGCCAAATTCTTCTTGTGTCACAAAGTAGCGTTGACAACTTGAACTCGAGACTCGTTGCGAGCACGTCTCAAAGAGGTCAGGCAGTGCTTTATTCGATAGTGAATTTCCCTGCAATCGTGAGTATCACATGAAACAGTATTCGGTTTTACTTTCAGATTTAATTGCTTCAACAGACTTCATATCAATTTGAGTTTGATACGTAACATATGAAGCCTAATGTTGACTGTCTTGTTCAGACTATGAACGGAATAGGGAAGTGAGATCGGACAAGCAGCACTTTCAAGTAGATGTAAAGCGTTTCCGTCCAAATCTTGTCGTGGTTGGAAGTGAAGCCTATGATGAAGATCTGTGGGACACATTAGCCATCGGCGACGAGCAATTCAAGGCAAGTACTAGAGTAGCCTCCAGGTCGTAGTTTACGTCATCAACTCTCTCTTTGCTAGATTTTTTCGTTCTTCTTTTCCTCTTGCTTTAAGTCCCTTCTCCTATTCAGTTGTGGCACTTGTAGGTGTCCCGACGTCGTTATAGTTGAAAACTTCATTGACCAGTAAACTCTTGTTCTTGTTTGTTTCTACTGCTGATAACAATCAGGTCTTTTTGTCTCTTGTGAGTTCGTTTGTCACTCCACAACGCATCAATTGTATGATATTTCTCTGACTTTAGATGCAAATGATATGCATCTGTTCAGCCCTTCGAATGTGTAACAGCACATTGAACTACTCACCCACAGCTGTGACACTATGTCAATCAACTCTACTCAGGTCCATGATTTTAATGTTTCCAGGTCAGGGGAGGATGCAATCGCTGTACAATGGTCAACATTGACCAGAGTTCTGGAAAGCGAGAAGCGCTTAGTGAACCACTGGCCACTCTCGCTTCTTACCGGCGTTTCAAGGCAAGCCCTCATTGAATTTTTTCCTTCGTTGCCTGACGTAGCCCTGGCCGGTGGAGAAGGAACATAGTATGCCATACCATGAACTCGCTTGTGACAGCAAACGGATCTTCAGCTGCGTATGGATTAAAGTTCAGTATGCGATTTGTAGATCTTTTGAAAAGCCAAAGTGCAAGATATGAGCACTGCTTGGCAGTTTTGTGTCAAGCCTGATGTCTATGCCAGGTTTTCGTCTTCGACTTGAGAGAAATGTATCATCGTCTACCGGTACACCTTTTGCAGTGATCTTGATGTAGCCCATTGCAGTATTGGGGTTGCTTAATGTAGACTCATTGTCTATCGAGTTTCGTCTAACTTTGAACAAGTTCTTTTTTTCAGGGACAGATCAATTTTGGAATACTTATCGAGCAAGCAAGGCATTGTACGGATAGGCGTCTTTCATCAAAAGAGGATGAAACCTCGAAAGATTCGAATGTAGATTCTGATATCTTAAAAAGATCTCACAATAGGCTTGTGCATGTTGGCCAGAGAGTTCGTGTTGTACAAACGTTGACTAACTGAAAATGAAAATTGGCCAATGATTAATGCCGCAGAAGCATGTAATCAGATCATATGTTAATCCATGGTTGTGATATGCGTGTCGTGTTTTCAGGATCTGATGAAAGTCCATCACCCGGTGTCTCTCTACATTGAGATCTGAGAGAAGAGAGGAGTTATGTTATTGAAGGTCTTCTTAGGAAGCTAATTTTTCTGTTCCACACATGTTTAGTCTTCTTGCATTTGAAGGAAGGAGCGAATGTTTGCACGTGGTCTTTTTCACGATAAGATGGAAGAGTGGATGGGGTCTTCAGTCATGTTTGGTATGCCCAGATCATTGTCTCTTCCCCACCGATACGTAGAGATTAAAACGCGCGATGAGTAGAAAAAAATCCAGATGGAAAATCATGGAAAATCACGAAGCACTAATTTTCGCCCCACCAATACATACAGATAAGGAGAAAAAGCCATACAACATTAACAAAATGCCAATAAAAAGTCCCTTTTCAATCTAGCAGAATTTAACCAAATTAACAGATAAAGAGGGAGTTAATCCTCTGTTGTAAATACTCCAGTGTTCCATATTGTGAGTACGGAATCACCATGTCTCCAAACGTTAGATTAGAGTCATACTGGACATTGAGTTATCGATCACGGGAAAGGGATTAACTCCCGTTCCCATGAGTGTGAGTGTATTTCACATTTTGTATCTTTTTTTCAGCATTTGATTTTTGATTGGTCCTTGGTTGCTTAATTTCTTGTCAAATTTTTTAGATTGTCGTGCATAGCGTAGATCACAAACATTTGTTGGATGATGAGCAAGAAGCAGATAAATTTCATCACTGAAGAAGGCAAGAATGTGAGGAAAAATTAGTAATTGACGAAAAAAAGAAAGTACAAGTAGAATAAAAGACTCTTTGAGATAAATTTGTTTTTTCTGTGTCAACTATCTGCTTATTTCAAGTTAAAGTATGCATTTTTCTTTGAAATAAATACAAAAAAATTGCCGTTTCTTCAAAAGTAGATTTGATTAGGATAAAAAAATACTTTTGACGGTTTGATAATTTTTATACGTCAATGATTAAGATTTATATATGACAATTCAAATATATCTAGGCAAGGTACATGCTTGTGCTTTGGACGACCAGTTCCACGAAGAGTATTTAGTTCAATGTTTGCAAAACCATTAATGCAAGGAGTTCAAGTTTTTTGACGTGAATTTCTTGCATTCCTACATGTATTTCAAACGTTTTAGAATTTCTTGTAAGTTTTCTTCGAAGAAAGGAGTGATTCATTTACTTCATAAATTTGAGTTGATGTTAGTGTTTTGTCAAGTTTGTAATCAACCTTCAGCAGCAATTGAAAAGAATCTGCTAACGATATTAAGTCTTGTGGTTATATGCTTGTTGAAAATATTGTAAGCTAAGAATTAGAATAAGAACGTCTATATTACTTTGTGCAATAACAGGTTTTGCTGAAGTCAATTTAGGATATATGGATAAGTGATGCACTTTGCAGTACCAAAGTTTATTTTATCTATCTACCTTCATTGCAATATTCTGATCAAGACAACATTTTGGATTTTAATTTATAATGCTTGTCTTGCAATTCAAATTTTACATCAATAATGCATTCATTCTTGACAAAAACAAGCTATTTAGATTTATACAAAAAGTTATTATCAGTTAAAAAAATCCTTATTGATTGATTTTATTGATGTTTTTATATCAAAAAATATTATGAACTTTATCTTATCATTTTTCAACTTGAGAATTTTTTATTTTTAGTATGAATTACATAACTTATAATCATTTGATCTCTCTTCATAAACTAACATTTGTTAGCGTTTTATTCTAAAGAAACAAAAAATTAAAACTTTTGATGTTAATTAAAAGAATTATTTGAATATATACATAATGATATATGAAATTCTGAGTTAAATTTTGTATTAAAAATATGATGATATATGTTTTACATTGAGAAGTATTCAAGATTTATATAAGTTTTCACATAAATATTTCAAGTCTTTGCAATTTTTTAAAGACTGGAAATTCAAACTGAGAATAAAATTGGCTGTAAAATGTAACGTAATTTGTTGTTTCAAATTTTTGAATGATTTTAGTTTGGATTTTCAGATTTACATATTTTCCAATTTAATGGAAATTAACAGATATATGACAAGATTGCACACTTCTGTAATTTGTATCCATCACAAATGAGGTTTTTGTATCAATTTGTTTATAATCTTATTTTTATGATTTAAATTGATCAATCATCATGTGTAACTTCATTGTAAACTTCTTAATATGCAGTACAACATCCATGATTTGTTAAATTATAATAGCTATGCATATTTCATAATGTTGAATGTTTGTTATGACAGGAGATGATGATTTATTTGTTTAGATGCAATCTAATTGAATTAGTTAAAAACTATGATTTGTTAAATTATAATAGCTATGCATATTTCATAATGTTGAATGTTTGTTATGACAGGAGATGATGATTTATTTGTTTAGATGCAATCTAATTGAATTAGTTAAAAACTATGAAAATGTCATTTTATTAACATGTACATTGTGGTAAAAAATATTACATCTATTTCAAAGATAGAGATATGTGATTCTGATTCCAATATTACTTTCTGCAAAATATTTTTTTAGAATGTTGTTGCCATTATTTTACAAGTATTTAGTGTGTGTAGTACTTGCTCTAAGATCATATATTGTGATGTTAATATTATACTCATCTTATCCACATGGCTTGATTGATGTAAAAGTTGATGGTTTACTATTATATTTTTTCTCTACCATGTACAATTTTAATATAAGTTGACATAAATAATAAGAATGTGATATGAAATATATAACAAACTAAAATCACTACATGATATTAGGGTGCCGGGCACGCCCTAGGAAAAGAGCATGCCCCCCTCCGCCGTGCCCCCGGGCATGGAGGAGCAGCTTAAGAGATTGCAGATGTGATTATACTCTATGCATATCACAAACACACCTCCAATTTCCAGTGCATATGAGAAGCAAAATCCACATGCGATGTCTCATGTGCGTGAGAACCAAAAATCTGAACATGATGCGCGTGTAGGGAAAACCCCGCACCTTTTCCTTTCTTTATTGTCCTAGGATGTCATCAATTGACCAGGCTCCATCCTCATCATCTTCCTCTACTACATCTCCTTTGTTTTCTGTTTGATCTCTCCCAACATCACCGATGGCAAAGTATTACTCCATGTTGTCTTCCTCTGGCTCATTCTCATCTTCTTGGAGCAAAGGCTCTGTTCTTCAACCATCATGAGCTCCAACCTCAAGTCTTCGTCAAAATCTTGGTAAAAGACATCGAGGCCTGCGCCTTCAATAGTGGGCGTCAGTGCGTTCTGCCCTTTTCCTTGCCTTACGGATTTTCATGTTGGCAATTCTGGCCCCGAGCTCGTACTTAAGCTGGCCAAGCATTGACAAAGTCGAAGGGCTAAGGCAATTTCTCGTTTTTGTCTTGATGAGCCCAAGGGCCGAGAAAAGGCGCTCGACTGGAGCACCATGGGGCGCAATGCTCAAGATTTTGAGAGCAAAGCGGCGAAGCACTGGCGCAGGTCCAGAAAACTGAGTACAAAATATGCGTGCTGAAAGTACGGTTTTCCTCACGTTCTTAAACGGTGGATCCTCGTTTTTGTACGCCAGGAGTTCCTTGTGCAACTGCACTGCATCACACTTTGAAAATTTCCAGGCCAGCGCTAGTCCAAGGGCATGTCTCATCATAGAGTCAATGATCACCTTCTTTGACACTGCGAGGTGCTTGTGTGATGGGAGAAGGAACAACGCAATGAAGTAAACAGGGTCCGAAAATTCCCTTGCACGCCTGTTGATTGCTGCTGCAATTGCGTGTTCCTTCAAACCAGCCATGCCAATGTTGGTGGACGATATATGATGCCAGACAACCAAAAGCTCCTTGAAGACATCAGTCAGCGACGAGTTGCTAGATTCAAGGCGTCCAATTGCATCAACAGCCGGAGATATGCCGTCAACTAGAGTTGCATTATCGGCAAAGTGGTACCGGCTCTTGATGATGCCTGCAATTGGGACGCGGATCTTTGGATATCCCGATCCTGGGGTTTCACTTAGCTCCAGATAGTGCGAGAAACCTTTCTCATATTCAGCCACCTCTTTGCAGACTTTGGCTAGTGAAAACCAGCGTGTATCGCAAAATGTCGAGAGCAAATGCCGCACGCCATTCTATTTCTGCCATTGTTGCAGCACGTTACGCCAAATGTGGAAACTCAGGAAAAAATTCACCAACTGCTGGTCTGATTTGCATGTGACTAGCAGTGATGGAAACGCGGTAATGTCCTTGACCAGAAGGTTCAACGCATGCAAGCAGCATCTGATTGGGATGATGTCTGAAAAATTGGCCTAAAATCACACAATTTTGTTTGAGTTCGGATCAAATTTTGCTTTGTGAATACAAAATGCAAGACAATGAAAACTTCACTAACCTTCAGATCGTTCCGCATTTTCACCATCACTGATGGATTGTCGGTTACACATGCGATAACGGAGCTTATTTTGATTCCGTTCAATTTGAGTACCTCGAGGAGTTCCTCCTTCAGGAAATCGGCTTTGTGCCTTTGGGCGGACAAGAGGGCATGCGCGGTACCCTACATGATATGGGATAAGTAGACTTTAAGTCTTGATAGTATCGCAATGTGAATTGTTTCATGCATCAACTTCATTGGAAAAATTGTGTACGTTGCATGCATCTTACTTGAGTGTATCGGGGTCGTTTATTCAAACAATATTTCAAAAGATTCTTGAGGTTGAACTAAAAAAAAACCAATTAGTACATGGGATGTTAGTAACTATCAAAGTACAATGATACGTGGAGAGTTTAAATTGTATTACTATAGTTTAATTACAAAAATCTGTGAAAGAAGATTTCGATACGTTGGTGTGAGAGTGAGTTTAAAATATTTGTTAGAAAATTGGTTTACGTTATATATATAATGTAAATCAATAAATAAAAATAAAAATAGTGATATTTAATAGTAAGTAAATATATTTTAGTAGTTTCTGCGCTTGGGTTCTATCTGCTAATTTTAGCAAATTGAGATAGAACAAGTCCTCATGTACAGACGTTACTATCTAGTCTAATTTTAGCATGGTGGGATGGACAAGACGTCATCCGGGGTCAGACGTGCTGCAAGCTTTGGAAGAGGCGCCCTCCGAGCGAGGAAGTCGGAAATGAAGAGTTCAGGCACCGCCACGTTTGCGCTGATATGGCAGTTTGGAGCGAATACGAGCGGATGGTAAGTTTCATGATCAGCGAGCTAAATCTGCTCCATGGTTTCCGAGCACAGTCCACAGCGAAAGGTGAAACGTTATGGAGGAAATGCGTTGTTTTTAGGTGGTGTTTGGTTGGAATCTACTGTACATATATGCCACGTATTGTCATGATTTTGATCCGCTTCCGACTACAAGCAACGGGAGAGAATATATTCGGGACGTGCTCTTTTCATCGAATAGTCCAAGTACCACCATCAAATGCAAACCTTCACATTTAATCTTCTTCCGTCAGATTAGGGGCGATAGATTCAGCAGAGTTGGAAACTATCTTTCGATGTGGGTATACAAAATATAAATTTCCACAATGTTATTGCGGAAGTTTTGTGATCTCTTCATGGCCCATTATTCATTCCAAGATATGGCATTACGATTATTCTAAGAAAGGATGGTGAATCATTGGATGGAAGTTTCCATACGCATCCGACGAAGCCCGATAAAAGGTTCTTGTGCACGACATTGCCGCGAAGTCAAAAGAGGTCCCATACACCGGACCGGAACGACGATCGAGGAAAATTCGTAGTTTTGAACTGAGGCAATCGTTAATAAGTAAAGAAATGTACAAAGTTCCAGAATAATTGTGCCGCGGTTGAACTTTCTGTCCAATCGCTACATATGGCAACTCGTCACAAAGCTGCAAGCCCTCTGACGCAAACGCTCACGCGCACGTCCAAGAGGTAAACTTGCTCCGGAATGCAATGGGAACCCAATCAGAATTTCAATGTAAAATGAAAGATATCCCATGTGGCGAATACTCAATACTCTCCACTACTATTTCGCTGTCTAATCGCTGTCGCTTCCGCTGCTGCTGTCGCTGTCATCGTGCTTCTTCTCTTTCTTCTTCTTGTCCTTCTTCTCACCGTCCTTGTGACCTTCCTTCTTGTCCTTCTTCTTCTTCTCACCGTCCTTGTGGTGCTCGCCCTCCTTCTTGTCTCCTCCGTGCAACAAGCTGCTCAGAGGGTTCTTGTGCTCTCCTTCCTTGTGCTCACCCTTGTGCTCTCCTTCTTTGTGCTCTCCCTTCTTCTGAAATATTCCAAAATGCCAACACAGTCAATCTCTCAGTGAGCTTCTCTATTCTCAACATTCCCAACTTCTATATACTTTCGTTCAATTACCCAAAAAGAAATGGAAATAATCATCAGCTCACTGCAAGTCAAGGCAGGTCTCGACTTCCGTAACAACAGAATCCATTGGCTTCAAGAACAGAAGATTCAGGCACTCACGTCATCGTGTCCCAGCATGTGCTGGATCTTGTCAACAATTCCGGCCATTTTGATAGTACTCGAAGTTTATCTGCAAAACCCGAAAATGGACGACGTTTAAAGAGTGTACCATGACATCATCCTCGGTATCTACTACCATCTGATCAATGTGATGCACTATGACAGAAGCTGTCGTTATGCCACAGGGCAGTTACTCTAACTCGCCCTGGACTTCATTCCTAGACTTGACCGATGGCATCTACCGCCTTCTCTTGAGCCAATAAGCGGTCAAATGACGATCTGGCATATGTAACAAAAGTTCTATTGCCCACATTGAGTACTGAGCACCATCGATCTGAGAAAGTACGTCGACAGAGTGCGCTAGTGCTACATCTCGATCACAGGCAAGGACAGAGTTGAAAGCCAAATAAGCTTCGAGAGCACTGGGCAGTAAACACATTAGCTCCTCTATGCTTTGTCCCTACTCTAGCGTTAAAGATTAATTTCACATCGCGGGCTTCCGATGTCCACTTGGCCAGACATGTCACAAACGATGAACACTATCATCGAGTCCTGTAAGTAATGGAAGCGACAAAAACATATTGCTGGAGCCACATTCTGCACACAGAGAAAATACTCACAAGCAGAACTAACTACAGCTCTACACGATCATCGACAGCACGTGGAAGTCAGAGAGTCAAGAAGGTCTGAACAACGATCTGCCTGCAACCCGTGGACAATTCGCATAATCTTACATCGAGCTGGGCTAGATTAGCGCCAGGGGAGGGAGCCTCGAGTCAAAAGACCAGTCGCTGCTACAAGATGGCAAATCAAGACGAGGACTAATATTTATCCCAAAGGTGACGATGGCGATTCAGTGGAGCTGCACATACTGCCAGGAATGATTCTATCCAGTTGTCACCCGCAGCGCAGCTTCTAGCCTGAGCCATCTAGCAACGATGAAATTCACGTAGAAACTCGAGCAGCCTAAGAGACATCCAATCAAGACGGACCCACTGACAAGACGGGAGAACTCACCAGTGAGCAAGCGCGCTCGATCGATCGATGGCTGTGGGAACTGAGATTGCTTGAATGTGAGCGGTTCTTCTCCTCAAGCTGGCCGTGAGCGGTCGATATATATACCTGCTGATGCGGTGGCCAGGTGGCCTGCCTGCGATGAGTCGGACTTCGATCCATATCCACGTAAGCACATCAACAACGCGTTGAGCAGCGTCCCGGGACTCCGCAGTCGCCAGTCGCCAGTGTCTCCACTAGTCACGAAGCTGCCACCACTGACCGACTAGTTCCCGAAACGACGGGTGGTCGTAGGTTACGAGAGCGTCGTGCCCGCTGACGACCGTACGCGATCGGAAGCAACGTTTACTGGCCGTCGTCACCTTCGGACGGCCGTCGGGCGCCACTCTGCTCCTGCTCCTGCTCCAGCGCTCAGGTTAGATCTCGGATCGGAGACCGAATTGTTTTCCCTTCGATTTCGCCTTTTCTCGTGCCTTTTCTTATTGACTTCTATTTCAGGATGCATAGATTAGATCAGCAGATAAGAACAACGTCATTACTGTAGTTGTGAAGTATATCGAGTAACACTGAGCATCATTTGTGGTACAAAAAGCGGAGAACGAGAAGCAGTGAACGCAAGACCATCGGACACCGAGTTTGAAGAGAGAAATGTTTCTTTTAATTCGAGATTTTTCTTTTGTGCAGGTTCATAATGTTAGCTTCGACAAAGCGAACAGCGTTCGGTAAGGTAATAGTCGAGTTTGGTCGTCAGTGCGGTTCCGGTGGATTCCGGTTCCGGTGCTTATGGGAAAGAAAAAAATCTTTTGTGAAAGAAAAAAATGTATGAAGAACATTCTATCAAACATGTGAATGGAATATTTATCAAACAAAATATGAAAACTCTCCATGTCACAAATATTTCCATTTATCCTTTGTGATATAACATTACATACATCTTTACATACAGTAATATTGACATGAATTGAAAGATTTATGTACTAAATTTCACATAAAATGCATTGCTACAAAGATCTTCAAGTAATTTTTTCGGATTTCAAAAATGAAAAAATAAGAACATTTGTTACACATATTATATAATTTCAGGTATACATGTATCTTGAGTCATGCTAGTCATGTCTCATGACCGTAACATAGCATGGCTTGAAGATCAATGATGATGGCAATGATAAGTAGTCAATTTTGTATGTCACATGTATGGTAAATTGTTCAATACAAATAAGTTTTTCAAGAAATCATGTCTATATTAAGATATTGAGATGTCTTAGCATCAAGAATTTAGTATTATGTTCTGAATAATGGATATTGCTGTTTTCAAAACTTGCTATTTTAGTAACATGAAATTTTAGAGTTTAAAAGTTTATCATTTGATATAACAAATCTGTTATCATTTGCTAGAAATTTTTCATGATGATGAGTATAGTGAATCAATAAAACATAATCATATGAAATTTTGTATAATATGAATCAAATTATTAAAATGAGACCATTCAAATCAATTGTCTTATGTAAAAAATTTACAAATTAAATTGTGATTTGAAATATGTGATTATATTTTTTCCAAATATACATTTCTTTGGAAAAAATAATCATTATAAAGTAGCAATCATTTTATTTATGATCTTTGAATAATAATTTATATTATTGCAATAAAAAAAAAGATAATTTAAGATCATAAAAAGATCATAAAGTTTTTTAACATTACATGCTTCAAATCTGTAAAGAAAATAAACATAATGTGAATTTTATAGAAAGTTAATTTACTAGTGATATATATGAATTTATAAGTTTCATTGAAAGATAGAAATTTTGAAATTTCTTAAAATTCAAGATCAACATTTTATTGAATAAAATGTACGGATTTTATTAAAAATACACTTATCAATCAATATATGCATTGAACGCAAATTTTTTAGAATCTTGATTCATTAATACTACATTATGAAAAAATAAATTCAAATGGGTTATGATCATTTAAGTATGAAGGTTTTTTCTACATATTAAGAAAAATTTCAATTTTTTATTTCAATCAAAAAAAGAGGATGAGATCAAGCAGAATAAATTATCAAGATATTTCATAACAAAAGAATATCCAGGCAAAAACATGCATGGTGTATATAACACTCGATTATACATTTTCATGGATGGGTTGAAACTGGAACTGCAACTTTCAAACTATATAAAAATAAAAAGTTAGAGTTTTGAAGAGAATACAATTTTCATTCCTCTAACTTTTGAATTATTTGGAAATATGGACATGAACTTCGACATGTTTCTGAAGAAATGCTCGAGAGCATAATAGAATTAATTATCATGGATCAGTTTTGTTTGATTCTTGTGTGTAGTGTAAATTGAACAACACATATTCATTACTCTACATAGAGACCGAAGTAATTGCTGTTCATATGAGAGCAATCACGACATGTGATCTTTTTGGATAATCCGTTGTTTGTAGACCAGTTGATCTAGACATCATTTCATTCTTTATGGTCTTAGTGTGGTATTCCCTTGGATTTTATTAGTTAACTCGGTGCCCCTTTTGGTGGACTATAAATTCTTTTGATGTGGCTATTATTGAAGGTACAAGATAAGAGGATTCTGAGTTGGCGATTGAGAGCTAAGAATCCTCTTATCTTAAATCCCCAATCATAGGAAGTGAAGTTCTTACCATGAGAAATGTGTGTGCAGTCACAAGGTCCAAATAAACTGAATCATCCAATGTTGGTTTGTTTGTTGGAATGTTTGATTTGAGAAGGATAGACTGATGAGGATATTGAGCTCCATGAGCTTAATTCTCGGGTCCTCAATGAAATCTTTATTGCATAGACCAATGCTCAGATGGAAGGAATGGAAGTCTGTTCAGCTCTCCGTCAAAGGGAAGTGCTAAACACACCAATAAATGAAGAAAATGTAGCAGTAGAAAAGTAACATGTCAAGACTCTGGCCAGCATTATTTATTCACAGCAAGTTGTATTGATAGACCTTCATGGTTGAAAAGTGACCGCTCTTCTTGAAAAGAGAGCTCTTCAACATATGAAACTGAATTTGCTAGACTCACAACATCACGAAACATAGTTTAAGACTCCTGCTCTTGAGAAACAAGCCAAAAACTTATGGAAAGTCTTCCGCAGGCCACCAAGAACCTCGATGAAGCTTTCTTTATTTTAGATTTGTCTGAAAAGAACAATAAATTTGTTAGATTATATATTTATGATTTATTATTGTTATGAAGATGTTATGTTATATTTTTAATTTGATAGTATATTATCATGATATGTTGAGTTCATAATATGTCAATTCTTGATATAGTCTTAAGAATAATATTTGGAATCTTGACATCTGTGAATTTATACATAATTTAAGTTCATTGTTGTGCAATAAAATGTTGATTTTTGTAAAAATGAACATTTTGACTTGTGACTTTCAATTTATGAAAGTTCACATGTAATTATTAAGTCTGGAATACGATTGCAAGACTTCAAAAACTGTAAATTATTCTCGCAGTTTGTATAAATTCATGTATATTATTAAAGCTAAAATCAAAGATTATTTTTTATGGTGCAAATTACTCCACGATTTTTCAAGTGATTTTACTATTATCTGTGATATTGTTACAACCGGGTTCTGTATGTTTCCGTTGTAGCATAGAGCTAATGAATTCCACATCTCTTCCGAAAAAAAGGTTTGTTGGAAATATGATAGTCATAATCAGACAGGAGACAACTTCTACAGCATTTATCAGGATTCCATTACCAAACAAACTTAGCTCGATCTTAAAAGTTGCTGGAGGCTTACGTTACTTTACAAGACACATCTTTATTCCCTTTTTTGACCTGTAAAGACTGCTTTACAAGTTGCACACCTGATTTTACTGGCTATCTAAATGCCTGGAGCTTTTGAATGTGAGATGAATGCAGAAGGCTTTAATGCACATCTGTCCATCATGCTTGTGATACGATCATGCACTTTACTTGCACGATACTTGATACGATACTCTCAGAAACATCGCCATGTTATGTGATAGTACTTTATTTCTTCCTTTTTATCAACGGAAAATATTATTTTCTCAATCGGTTATATTCCTGACCTTTGTTTAGTGATAATTCATAGTTTCATGGCCTATGTTTAGCATTTTTCTTGGTAAAAATAATCAGTAAATTGGTTTTGGTTTTTCATAAGTTTGAAAAAGTGACATTAACTTATATCAAATGCCCAAATGATTTTGGAAATAACTTTAAAAAAACTCTTTATTTGGTCTTTCATTGCATAAGTATATTTAGTTCATAGTCATGAGGCATTATCCCGTATGTGTTATGATATTGGAAAATATATATTGTAGAGTTATTATTAGAACTTGTATATAATAATTTCACACAATAAAATTTTGATACATGACTATCAGCTTTAATAATGCGAACCTCTTTATCATTGCTTGTGTGATACAATTTGGTCATGAACTGTACGTACCCTTAGGCATATCGTAGTAACACATCTGACTACATTCATTCGTCACCCAAGATTCAAGCCAGCACTAAGGACAGACTTTAGATCGTTATAGACCTGTCGAACCTCCATCTTTGGAGGTGGCGCCCGATCCCTACGGGCCGACGTTTGGCGTTTTATTTTTTTCTATGATGTACGAAAATGAAATTCTATAAAGTAATTCACTGCCAATCTAGAAAGATGATGTTTTAATCACATTGATAGAAGACCAAAGACCCATGATAATCCGGGAAATGATTTTTTAAATTAAGAATTAATCTACTCATGATTTTATGTCACTTTGTTACATATTTTAAAAACTTTTAAACGCAGATGTTTAATCCTACAGTTAATTGTCAAAATATATGTGTATTCAAATGCCATGTTGCCAAACAAAGTCAGTCACATCATAGTCATTTCAGTGATTATACTGATATATGTATGCAACCAAACAAAAGAGCTTCATAGAGATGAGAGAGCCAAGTAAATAAGAAGAAAAGAAAATTTAACCTCCCATCATACTCTCATAGCTAGTATTGGAGTAACAACCTCAAAGACATGATCTGTCTAGGGCACGGAGCACTCTAATGTACATGCCT